GTTTAGGACCTTGTGTTGGGATAGATTCTGAGGGCTTACCTGGTCATTATTGCTGGTGATCTCTGCTCTGGATGGAGAAGGAGGGAATGCTGGCCTCTGTGCCAGCAGCTCCAATCTAGGACACAATTATCTTTAATCTTTGTTGGCCTAAAAATCCTCTAGCATTGACTAACTGGTTCAATCCTCCTCCAGCAAGTATGTGGACTTGACTTGAGTGATTTCTGATCCTGACTTCCTTTGGTTTGCTCAGGTTCACAAAGTGTTTCCAAACGGGCTGGCCTCCCAGGAAGGAACTATTCAGAAGGGCAATGAGGTTCTTTCCATCAACGGCAAGTCTCTCAAGGGGACCACGCACAATGATGCCCTGGCCATTCTCCGCCAAGCTCGAGAGCCCAGGCAAGCTGTGATTGTCACAAGGAAGCTGACTGCAGAGTCCATGCCTGACCTCAACTCCACCACTGACTCTGCAGCCTCAGCCTCTGCAGCCAGTGATGTTTCTGTAGAATCCTGTAAGTTCTCCCAACTCCCACATGGGCCACATCCTCTTTGGCCATGTGTGGCCAGACCTGATGGGGCTACTCAGTAATTTGTGACCCCAAGAATGTGTGGCCTGCCTAGTACACTGTTTGAGATGTATGTCTGTGTTTACATGTGCCTGTGTGCAAACATGGGGGCAGCATCACCCCGGGCTCACTCGATGCCCAGGGCATCTATGGCCTGGGAGGGGAGAGGATCCCTAACAGACACCTTGTGTTTTTCTTAGCAGCAGAGGCCACAGTCTACACGGTGACACTGGAGAAGATGTCTGCAGGGCTGGGCTTCAGCCTGGAAGGAGGGAAGGGCTCCCTGCATGGAGACAAGCCTCTCACCATTAACAGGATTTTCAAAGGTGTGGGGTGTGTCTGGTTCTTTGTGGGTTCTCCAGTTGGGGGCATGTGGCCAGGCCCCCAAAAGGCTTCTGGGCACTTTCTGGGCTATGTTGGTTTCCCACAACTCCATGTCCTCTTCATAGGCATGCTGGTCTTTTTAGGGCTGAATTCTGCTTTTTCTACTTTTTCTCCTTTGCTCTGACATCCCCTGAATCCCTGGTGTGTTTTGATGGGTCCTCATAAACACCTAAGTCCTGGGCTTGGTTTGGGTTGGCAGGGCCAGGACTCTAGAGTGAGGCAGTGGGGCCCTGGCCTACGGTGCAAAATTTTAAAGGGGTGCCAAAATATGCAGTAACCCAGATCAATACTATTTTAATGCAGTGTGTGTTTTTTAAGTTAATTTTAGAAAAACATGTTGAACAAAATATCGAAGTTTAAATAAAGACAGTCTGACTTTGTACTGCACACTTGGCCTCATTTGCCTTACCCTAGAACTCGACACATCAGCTCCTGCCTTTATTTAAAATTTTGTTATTTGGTTCATCAGGGATTGGAGTATAAATCAGTCTGATATGGGGGTCACTTGGATTTCCCTGTGAAAATCATGAATGACTGTGGCAACCATGTAAAACCACCCCTGATTCTTTGGTGTTCCTCAAATTGGAGGTCTCCAAGCCACAGAGCAAGGGGCTGTAGAGAGAGTAGTACTAGAGAGGGAGGCAGGTGAGCTGGGTTCTAGTCCCAGCTCTGCCTGTAACATGCTGAGTGACCATTCCCTTCTGGGCCTGAGGCTCCTCATCCATAAAAGGAGGTAAAGAGGTACAGGTGTGTATCTGAGGGCTCTTAGGACTGAGACCCAAAGGGACTCTTAGCTCTGTCCCTCACCCACCATAAGCTCCTGCTGCCAACTGGTTTCATTACAGGAAGTTCTGCTGCAGCTGCAGAAACCCAGAAGGTACAGTGAGGCTTACATGGCATTCCCCCCAGAATCCATGTTAACCCCAATTCTGGGAAAGATATTTCTAATTTTTGAAGGTCAATTTAGAAGGAACATTGGGTTCAATGTCAAGAGGACTAGATTCTAGTGTTAGTTCTGCCACATGACCTTAGTAGCATGTCCTTGGACAAGTCACTTCACCACCATGGACCCATTTACTTAAATGTTTAGGATGAGACTGCCAGCTGCAGCGTGATGTGGGAGGGGAGATGCAGATTCTGGAGCCAGAAAGTCTGGCTTCCAGCCCAGGGCCTACCACTAGCAGCTGTGAAGCTCCGGGCCAGTTACTTGAGTTCTTGGTTTCCTCAACTGTTAAAAGGAAACACAAATAATACATCCCTCATAGGATTACTGTCATAAATGCAAAACATGAGCACAATGCCTTTTAAAATAATTGCCCAATACACTTTAGCTATATTTTCATTACTATCATTAGTATTGTCTTCTATTCTTATTCAGGATTTGTGAAGACCACTGTGTCAAATGGATGGGAAATTATCTTTTAATATAAACAAGTAAAATGGCATTGTTTTCACATGCAGCTTTGAAATAGTGGGGGGCATATATGTTTGTTTCCTTTTTTATGTAGACACAGAGGACTTCATGCCACTCAGAGGCAAGATCCCTGTAAAGATTGTTGCACAAAAGTCTCACTAGCCCTCTTCCCATACCACCCATTGCTGATGTCCTCATCAGATGCGGAGAACAAATGTGAAGGGGATAGGATATTGGGTCAGTGTCCAAAGCAGGGTCTAGGCAGGACTCAGTTCCCCAGAGTCTTCTATGAACTATGGACGGTGCTCCAGCCAGGCTAAGGCGTGGAGCTGCCTGATGGTTCCCTCCCCTGGAGACAGCATGGGCTATCCCTTTCCAAGGGCCATGGAGAGCTGCAGCCTGGTTCCCTAACCTCTGAGTCACCATCTTAAGAGATGCCTCATTTTAGAACCACCAACAAGCAAGCTCCCACGGGATGATGCCCCACTCTCTACCAAGCTATCCTGGCTCCCTGGAGATCAAGGAGAGGAGGCAACTTTTCTTGTTCCCCATCATCTGTGGAACCCATTATCTTCTCCCTTTCAGGAGCAGCCTCAGAACAAAGTGAGACAATCCAGCCTGGAGATGAAATCTTGCAGCTGGCTGGCACTGCCATGCAGGGCCTCACGCGGTTTGAAGCCTGGAACATCATCAAGGCCCTGCCTGATGGACCTGTCACGATTGTAATTAGGAGGAAAAGCCTCCAACCCAAGGAAACCACAGCTGCTGCAGACTCCTAAGCAGGACATGCTGAAGCCAAAGCCAGTAACACATAGCTCCTATAACTGCTGATTCTCAGGGTCTCTGCTGCCGCCCTACCCAGATGGGGGAAAGCACAGATGGGCTTCCCAGTGGCTGCTGCCCGGGCCTAGACCTTCTAGGACACCACCCAGCAAAAGGGTTGTCCCTAAAGTAAGGGCAGAGTCACACTAGGGTAGTTGATACAAATTGTAGACCGTGTAAAAAGAGCTTAATGATAATATTGTGGTGCCACAAATAAAATGGATTGTGATTTCATATGAAATTCATGCCTGGCTTTGAAAAATGTTTCAAGTACTGTAACTGTGTCATGATTCACCCCCAAACAGTGACATTTGTTTTTCTCATGAATCTGCAATGTAGGCAGAGATTGGAATGGGCAGCTGATCTCTGTTTCACTTGGCGTCAGCTGAAGTCATGCAAAGGCTGGGACCGTGTGAGATTACTCACTCATACATCTGGCCGTTGATGTTGGCTGTTGGCTGGGAACTCACCTGGGGCTGGTGGCCTGAATGCTTATAGGTGGCCTCTCCTTGTGGCCTGGGCCTCCTCACAACATGGTGTCTGGATTCCCAGGATGAGCATCTCAGGAGTGCAAGAGCCATGTAGAAGCTGCATCTTGTTTATACCTTTGCCTTGGATGTCGCATAGCACTACCTCCACTATACTCCATCAGTTAGAGCTGACACAAACCTGCCTAGGCTTAAGGGGAGAGGAAGTATTGCTGGGGTCATTTATGAAATATACAATTTGTCACATGAAAGATTTGCAAAATTGTTTTTGTTTGGATTGGAGAAGTAATCCTAGGGAAGGGTGGTAGAGCCAGTAAACAGGAGTCCAGGTGAAGCACCAAGCTCAAAGCGTGAACAGGTGTGCTGACAGAAGGAACCAGCATGTATATGAGGGTATCAAATAAAATTGCTACTACTTACCTACCACATGCCAAGCACTGTGCTCAGGGCTAAACGGACATTGCCTTTGGTGATCACAGCAGCTTCTACAGTGTATGGTTCTGTGCCAATGTATTGATATGAGGGCAAAAATGTACAGTAAATAGATTATCCAGCTGGTAAGTGATGCGGCAGATTGAGTCCTTCCTTCTGTGATTCGGTAGAGACTGTCAGCCCAAGATGCTTTAAGTGCACAACATTATAGGGAATACCTGAGTGCCTGGCCAAAGGGATATTTGGTCTGGTCATCTCTGGGTGCCTGATTGCCAAGCTAAGGACCAGGCAATGTGCCTTTGCATCAGCAACAACCAGCATCCCTTGACCAGGCCTGGGCCAGAGTATTGGCCTCTTCTCAGCCCCTGATCCTGTGAAGTAAGGATATGGGGGAAGACCTGGCAAGGACAACAGATGGAACACAAAAAGTGGTAATTCTCAGGCCATCATCAGTGGAGCCATGTTAATGCAATCTGATGGCTTCTCTAGGGTCCACAGGAAGTGAAGAATCTGTTTCCCAGCAGTAGACTCAGAAAACCCAGCTGGGCTCCTAACCTTACTGTAAACCCCTTTCATGGCTTCATTAGAGCAGGCATTCAGCTCACTGTTCTATTCATCCCAAGGAATCATGGGTTTAGAGCAGTTTCTGTCCTGCTGGTTAACTTGTTTGGCCTTCTACTTGGCTACACAGGGCTGGACAAGGCGATCCCATCTTGGTTAGACCACCACCTCAGGGTATGGAGCTCAGAGGGGGCAGGCATGAAGTTTCCTTGGCTGGTGCACCTAGAATTGGCTGAGCTCATGAGAAGTTGATATAGAACAGTGCTTGCCACAGAGTGGGGACTCGGTAAGCACTTAATGAATGAATGAATTCTAAGTCAATCCAAGAGCCTGATGATTTCTTGAAAAGGGTGTTAGCTAAAAGATCTTAAGGCATGATTGTGGAATCTGTAGTTGCAATAGAACACAGAAAGAGGAAGCTTTCTGCCCCCTTAACACAGAGCTGTCGTGTTTTAAAGCTTGCTCACATCTTGGCACATTTAAGAGACAGTCACCCCAGGACTCAAAAATAGGGAAGTAACAGTAACACAGGGGAAATGTTTTCTGTTTGGAGGAGCAAAGGCTGAGAACACTGTGAAAACATCCTGCACGCGCAATAGTAACCTGGGTAAATGCAACGTGAAGGGATTTTAGTCAGACACACGTGGTCTTTCTTACAAGGAAGGTGGCGGGGGTGCAGATAAGGTTGCTAGAGAACGTTAGAGGATCCTTCTCTGGATTGGAGATAGGGAAAGAAACTTGCATGGCTGCTGAGGCCCCTTCCAGGTGGCAAGGCTGGGCTCCCTGGTTCTGATGATGTGCCTGGGTGGACATGGCCCCTGTAGGTTTGTGCAGTCTTGCAGCAGGATCTAGAGGGGAGACTCCAGCCAGCGCTGCTAGAGGGAGGCATGCTCGTCTATCTTTCCTGATGGCAGGATGGCCTGGCCAGGGCCTGGAAGACAGAGACCTCCTGCCTCCACCTCAGTAAGAAGACAAGGAAAGGCAAATGCCCAGGGGAAAGAAAAAGAAGGCTCTTCTCCCCAGAGTTCCCCATGCAGACGTGAGTACACACTCAGTTCAGAATCACTGCCAAGAACTCATCCCTAATGCTGCAGATTTGGGCTGGAACAGATTCACACTGCCTGGTTTCATTGAGGACATGGAAGTCCACCATGAGGGGATAAAGAGAGAAAAACAAATTCATCAAATGGAAGATACATTGAAAGTGTTTTTCCTTAATGGTTATCCCATTTTTAAACCATTATTTTCCAAGTTGACACCTTTTTTAAGGAAAAAAACTCTTTTGTGGCAGTAAAGCCATATACAAGGTCTGTATCAGAAAAATACATTTGAGGGTCTGCAGCACAGGACTGAGAGAGCTGTAGATGCTTAAAAGGCAACAGGGCCTGGTTTTCAGTGGTGATGATGATTCTCTATGACAGTCAGGGAAACGTGGTCTCTGAGAGTGATGGGCACATAAAGGCTTGGGGCCAGAGTGCATCACACGGTGTCCAGCCCGAGTCCCTGTCAGATGGTTAGAGGCCTGGGTCTACCCTGCCAGGAGAGGCATGTTTGGGTAACAGGCAGATGGAGTTTAGAGCACATGAATGGCTCATCGCATGCCAACCCTGAGTGGGGCAGGAGGCAGGAAGGGTGGGCTGCCGCCTCTGGTTGGCATTCTCAGAGATGTGTAGTCCATTGGCTTGTTCCAAAGAGTGAACACAGGCCTCCGCGTGTTCCCAGGCTCCTTGGTATCCCAACAGCTGGAGCTTCTCGATGAGTCATGGGAGTTCTTTGCCAAGAAGTAATGATGGCATTACTCATGGAATTGCTTCACTGCTTTCTGAAGGTTGGCATAAAACCGGGTCATGCTGCGGGGGAAGAAGGAGTCCACCACGTTCTGTGGGAGATAACCGCTGAGGTCGGTATGGAAGAATGTGACCAGGTTGGTCTTGGTGGGTTCCCTGTAAAGGCAACAGCAGAGGTGTGTTACGATCTACAGCAGAGATGCTGGGGATGAGCACCAGGCAGGTAAGCAGAGCCCAGCCCAGTGGAAATGGCCATGATACAGTGATTGCGTCTCATCCCTTGCTGTGCCCTCTACCCAGGGGTCCTCTCTGGACCTGCTCATTTTCAGGATGGAATCTCGTCCTGTCAGGGATGCATTCCACAGCCTCTCCAAGCCTCCAGGGAGGGAGAAGTCCCTACTCCCAGTCCAAAAACGCAGTACCTTGCCGCCTGATTCACTCAGCAAATGCTTTCGGATAACTCACTTTGTGCCAGGCCCTGAGAGGAACGAAGAGATGCTGCCCTTCACTATTTAGGGTCTGCAACCTCCTGGGGGCTCCTGGGACCCTTTCAAGGGGTCTGCAACGTGAACACTATTTTCATAACAACACTAACACGTGATTCGCCTCCTCTCACGTGCATATGGTGGAGTTTTCTGGAGGTTACATGATGTGTGATATTGCAACAGACTGCATGCAGAAGCAGGTATGAGCTTCTGTTAAGCTGACATGAAAGAGACGGGCAAAAATGTAAAAATGCCACTCTTTTCACGATATTTTTTGTTTCTAAAAAAATACAGTTTTTAAAAATAAAGTTATTTAACATGCAGTGAATTTTTATGTTAGAATATTTTTAACATTTCTCAAATTTCCCAGTTACAATTTCAAATACATCAAATAATGATAGCTATAACCTCCATGAACAAAGGCCCTATGAAGCCCTCAAATATATTTAAGGGTATAAGAAAGCCTTATGCCAAAATTTTGAGAACCGCTATTTAGAGAACTGGCGAATAATTTGAGCACCTATGAAGGGATTTTGGCCGGGGGGGGGGGGGGGGGCAGAAGCTCAGAGGACGGCAGGTGGCACAGATGCAGACTGGAAGTCCAGAATCAAAGGGGCACACAATGTGGAGACGGAACACAACTTGGTAGGGACATGAAGCAATCTTCACCGTGACAAACTTCTCAACGGCCAGGACAACAAAGGTAGTATGGGCTTTGTGGAGTTCATTTGGCATTTTATTTGAACGCAACTGTCCACAGCCTCAGCCTCACCAGGAACCCCAGGTAGCTCTATGCCTGCCCATGAGATGTTTCCTGACATCATGCAGGCTACAGGTTTGGAACTGGAGACCTTTTAGAATCCCACTCCTCAGGGCCAAGCACGGTGGCTCACACCTGTAATCCCAGCACTTTGGGAGGTCGAAGCGGTTGTATCACCTGAGGTCAGGAGTTCAAGACCAATCTGGCCAACATGGTGAAACCCCATCTCTACTAAACATACACAAATTAGCCGGGCATGGGGGTGGGTGCCTGTAATCCCAGCTACTCGGGAGGCTGAGGCAGGAGAATCGCTTGAACCTGGGAGGTGGATGTTGCAGTGACCTGAGATTGCACCATTGTGCACTCCAGCCTGAGTGACAACAGCAAAACTCCATCTCAAAAAAGAAAAAAAAAAAAAAAAAAAAAAACTCACTCCCCAAGTCATATAGAAGGACAACGGGCCTGGAGCAGGATGGGGGCCAACAGATCCATAAGACAGGAGAGCATGTGCTCCTCTGCATTGTGGCTTTTCTCCTCCTCTGCTTGTGCCCTGCTTCCCCAAAGAGGGTGAACTCCAGGGGACAGGCACTTCCTTCCATCTCAAAGCATCCACACTCCACCTTTCCCTCACCCACCAACCCCTGCCCATCCCGCCTTTGCTAGGGCCTTCTCTCTCATCCCTGCTCCTCCTCCCACTGGGCCTCCTCTGGCCGCCATCACCTCTCAGCAGCATCCTCTTTAGAAACATGAACAGGTGAGTGAGAAATGAGACTCCGTGATCATGTCTCCCTCTGGGTGAGGACTGGGCTTTGTGGTGGGTAGAACATGGGAGAGGCCGTGTGGGATGGGACAAACTCTTCCTCACAGTGGCCTGGGTGAGTGGTAGCTCTTGTATGCACACCATTATGTGACAACAACAACAGAAAGGGCAAAAGGGGGCACAAAGGAGTTGTGGGTCACCAGTCTCCCCTCAGAAAAGGCTGGGATGAAGGCATCCACTATGGTTGCTAGAAGGATTTAATGAGAGTAGGCGTGAAGCACACTTAGCACCCTTTCTGTGCACAGAGCAAGTGCTCCAGAAATGATACTGTAATGCTGCCTTGACCACAGATACAGGCTCCTCCACCTTGAGAACACATTTCCCCCACCCCCCACAGTCACTTGCAGCTCAACCACCACTACCTCTGGCCTCAACACCACCTCACCCCTGATGAGTCCACTTGCCCTCCTGCTCACAGCCTCTTGCTCAAGAGAGCAAGAGGAGAGAGAAGGCCCTAGCAAAGGTGGGATGGGCAGAGGTTGGTGGGTGAGGGAGAGGGTGCAGTGCAGATGATGCTAAGGCTTTGAGATGGAAGGAAGTCCCTGTCCCCTGGAGTTCACCCTCTTTGGGGAAGCAGGGCATCACAGCAGTTAAGACTGAAGTCAGAGCATGTCCTGCTCAGGCCTCCCCAATGGCTTCCCATTTTATTCAGAGGAAAGTCCCCAACAGGCTGTGGGCCCTGCTACCTCATGGGCCGAATGTCCTAGCCTCTCCCCTTGCTAACACAACACCTCCCTCTGTGCTGCTCCTCAAAGGCGCTGCTTTTGCTCTGGCTCCTGCTCCTACTTCTGAGACTTTGCATCTGCTCATAGCCCTGCCAGAATTCTCACTCCACCAACATGCCCAAGACTCCCTGCATTTGTGCTTTGTTCAAATGTCTTATTAGGGAAACCCCCTAGACGACCCACTCACACCTTTCCCTGTCACCTTTATCTGGGTTTAGTTTTCCCCAAGGCACTTAACATCTGATACTTACTAGAGCATCCACGAGACAGAACTACTTACATTTGTGTTTAGTCTGTCTCCTCCTGCCTTCATTGGAATCTAAGTTCTAAGAGGACAGATACTCCAGCTGTTTTGAGACATCAGTATCTGCGTTGAAGAGCCCAGATTCTGGAGCCAGAAGGCCAGAATGAGACTGTGGCTCTCTTACTTGCTGGCTATGTGACCTTGGATAAGTTACTAAACTTCTCTGTGCACCCACCATTCTTATCTTAAAAATCAGGATCACAACAGTACCTTAGGGTTGTTATAAAAACAGTTAATTTATACAAAGTGCTTAGAATAGTGGCTGACACAGTAGTGCTGTCTAAATGTTTGCAGCTGCTGCTGCTGCTATTATTGCTGGCTGAATCTAGTGTCCAGAATAGGCCTATCTTCACAGAATAATAAGAGAATAATCATTGTCACAGATTTCAGATCCACAGCCTCATGAGAATAACTGCACAGAGCAGGCTCTGGAAGAAAGTTTTACTGAGAACACATGATGTTTTTAATCAAGTAGACAGGAGTTGGAAGAGTCAACACTTGAATTAAAACCCTCATATAGGCAGGGTTTTGTGGGACTCCAACCAACCTATCAGCAAAATCCATGCAATTGGGCCAGGCGTAGTGACTCATGCCTATAATCACAGCACTCTGGGAGGCCAAGACAGGGGGATCATTTGAGGTCAGGAGCTCGAGACCAGCCTGGAAAACATGGTGAAACCCCCGCTCTACTAAAAATACAAAAATTAGCCAGGCATGGTGGCAGGCACCTGTAATCCCAGCTACTTGGGAGGCTGAGGCAGGAGAATTGCTTGAGCCTGGGAGGCAGAGGTTGCCAAGAGTGAGCTAAGATTGCACTGCTGCACTCTGGCTTGGGTGACAGCCAAACTCTGTCTCAAAAATAAAATAAAATAAAATAAAATCCACGTGATACCTTTGCTATGGGCATGACACTACCCATTATATTGTGCATTCCACCAAAAAGAAGGCAGCAATGGGATTCAGCCCCTGAGAAAAAATGACTCTGCCTCTTATTCTGAAAACTCCTCTCTGTCAGACCCGGCACCATTGAAAGGTGAGTCCTAGCATCTGACTACTAGGTGGGAGAGGACAAGGAAATGAGTCCAGGCCAGGGCATCTAGGGTACCTATATATTGAGAGAACTGAAACTGAGCGCAGGTGTGTATGTTTGTGTGTGGCAGAGCACAGCTGTGCTATTTTCAAACTCAAAATTGTGTTACGTCTAAGAAAAGTCTTCATGTGATGTCTGAAAAGCCAGCTTAGCAAAGAGGGTAACATAAAGGTGCTAGGTCTGGGCTTGGTATAATCCCATGACACCGAGGCCCACCTCCTGGGACAATGTGGTAGAAGCACGGACCCCTTCCCTCCAGGCGTCTGTGTGGAGACTGCAGGGAACACTGCGACACGCCTGCAAGGTGCAGTTTCTTTCGCTGTCAACTTGCATGATTCCCAGGATAAATGAGGGACAGGTGATTCATTACACAGAAATTTCCTGGCAAGAGCCTGGCCATGACCTGTGGCAAATGGGAATAGAGAGTCCCCGGGGTCAATTCTGAGGCTGACTTACAGTGTGGTCTCAGAACTGCCCTTTAGGCCTGAGTTCCGCCATATTCCTTGCTGAGGAGAGATGATCACTGAGTGAAATGTGGGGTGGGGACTGCTATCTTCAAAGCTGCTCCTGTCTGGCAGAGGGTATTCAGGGAGGACTCGGAGCACAGACCCTGCCGTGCCAACCTCCTAGCCTTTGAGTCAGGACACATCACTGAATCTCCCCAAACCTCAGTTTCCTCATTTGCTAAATGGACCATGACATTTGTTTAGCCTGGAGGCTGCAGGGAAAATTTCCTGCATCACGAATAAGAGTAACGCCTCCCCTCAATTCTTGCCCATGTGCCAGGTACTCTCAGGAGGTTCTGCTTACGCAGATGTGTGTGAAAGTATTTTGTATCGTCACAATCTAAACAGCTGTAAGGCATTTTTCTTCTTTTGAATCATAATCAAAGTGCCCCTTTTCAGAGAAGGTCCACAGGGAAGGCACGGTTAGGTCTGAGCCATGTACCTCAATGCAGGAAATTATCCTTACCCTGGAAGAGGTTCACAGAAGCAACCACAAGGATGGTTAAATCCTCTCACAAAACCTGGCTTCGGGGGACACAAGGGGTGTTCCACATGGGTGGCTGGAAGACAGTGCAGAATGTCAGTGAGTTACAACTTCAGATGGTCAGGCCACCGCCACTGGGATGCCATAGAACACACAGACCTGACTACCTGCAGCCCCGGAGTCTGTGAGGGACTCCTGCCCTGTGGTGTGAGGTCCCCCTACTCCCACCCTACTGCCCCTTACACTCACACATACAAATACACTCTCACATGCGTGTACACAAACTCACACATATGCACACACACTTGCACTCACACACACTCATCTACATTCACGCATAAACACGCACATAGCTTTCCCAAGCTTGTCAAGAATATTAAAGAACATTCTAGAACACAAGGTTTGGGAGTGGGAGGAGGCACGTGCCTCTCTCAAATCCCAGCCAGGAGAGGCATGGATGCATCCAACTCTCTCATGTAGAAGAATTGGAGGAATGGCAGGGGCTGTGCAGAGGCAGGAGCCCTGCTCCTCACTGGACATCAAGGGAGTGGACAGCACCCAAACTCTCAAGAAGACATGGCCATGGATTTTTCACACAAGTTTTTTGCCACCCAACAAACCTACATGTCTACAGCAAACACCATGAGCTTCGGCAGGAAAAAAAAAAAAGGGAGGCACTGGCAAAACCGTGACTTAAACATAGAATTACTGGTATGTGGACTGTCTTGCCTCAGACCCCCATGGCCCTGAATCCCCCCAAACCCAACCAGATGAGGTAGGGGACTCAGAGTGTGAGTTTCTGGTGATTTCGGGTTGCTTGGCTCTCCTTAAGGAACTGTGAGGTGCAGAAGAGAAAGCCTAGCATCGTAGGAAGGCATGGCAGCTCCTCTGGGCATCACTCACCGTTGGAACTGATGGTCCCATCCTCATATCTCTTGACTAGCACCAAGTCCACAAAATCTCTGGGAGAAATGAGCTTCATGGCAGCTGAGGGGGTGGAGGTTCTGCTTACACACAGGGTCTGCCAAACCAAAGAAGCATGTAGCTGGCCGGACATCTTCTCCCAACTCCCACTCCATCCCTCAAGGTCTGGGAGAGGTACCAGGACGGACAGTAGGGTGGCACTATAAACAGTAAGATCCAGAGCAAATCTTCCCAGGAACCGGGTGTCATGGAAATACACCCAGTTTGTAAGATGAGGGCTGTGACACAGACTGCCCACAGCTATCTAGCTGCAGACCAGTGCCATGCTGAAGTCATGTCTCACAAGTGACCATAAGAGGCACCATTTATTGAGCACCTAGTAAGAACCTGGCTGGACAAAGCTCTCAGTTGTCCCTTACCTTTAGAAACAGGTATCATTAATCCCTACTACAGGTGAGGAAACTGACACTTGGAGAGACTAAGGAACTCAGCACGAAGCTCATGGTGGAGATGGGATTTGAACAGGACCAGAGCTAGGGAGAGGGAAGAAAGGCCACTCTTTTTTAGGGCTGACCCTGCACTTGCTCAGCCTCCTATGTTGGTGCCTGGGGCAACTCTTTGGTTTGCCCTAGTCCCAGCTCCAGGAGGGAATACCTTGAACTTCACTCAATCTCAGCATATCCCACACTCCCATTTTATAAACCAAGGATGCTGGGCTTTCTCTCATTCATCCCATCCTGCAAGAGATCAGGGGGCAGGCTCTCTCGGGGTCACAATGGAGAACTACAGGCCAGGTCTGCGATGGAACAGTCCTGGGGAGAAGTCTCAGGGGAGGTGAGCGGGGCTGGTAAAGGTCTCCATCTCTTTGTCTTTCCCCTCAGGTATTAAGACTTGGGGCACCACGTGTTGCTGAGAAACTTTTCAGCAGGGACACTTTTGGCCTCAGGAAATTAATCTTCAAATGGGCGTGAGATGCCTGGGGGCACTTGAGCACTTTGCAATGGGTGCAATGAGGATGAATTTCCAGATGACTCTACTCCATGTTTCCTTCATCCCTTAACGACCTGCCTGGGAACAGGATGCACCTGCACACAGGGTCTCCTTTCCCATTTGAAGAAAAGCACAGCATATGCCCATTCATCTAGAATCATCCTATCATGAATTGTCCCAGTGTGTAAAATCCTCCAGGGTGGCAAAGGGACAATTAGGAGTGCTGGCTGCAATATGTAATCAAGGCAGTATACACTGGTGTTAGAATTTCATGTTTTTCCCTTTCTTAAACACATTCCAAAACTTGGTGTTAAAAACAAGGCAATTTTGTCATTTCTAAATTCTGGTATTCTGTAACAGTAATGGCAGAAGTGATGAAAAATTTGAAAAAAATTATACTGCTTCCACCTCTGATGATTGCCCCCAGGTGCATCATTCCTGAGGTATAGTGTCTGGAAACCAAGATGAGGAGAACTTTGGAAAGAAATTTTGAAGACAGCAGCAGCACATGTCATAAATGCGACAAACTCATGGCATGGCCCTGTATCCTATCCATCCATCCACCTATCTATCCATCATCTATTTTAGAATTAGGATATTTGAGAGTTGCCAAAAGCGTGCTGAAAAATGCCAGTCTGCAAGGAAAAGCCCTTTCTCCATATTTTCATTGTTTCACTAAATGATAAAGAGCTACCACTTGGTAATTCTCCACTTTTTTGTAAACCTGAGCTCACCAGTAGCCTGTGCTTCCCCTCTACTTTGCAGTTGTCTATTGAAAAGTTTGTATCTTTTCATGGACTTATGAGTTAATTAGAAAAAAGAGCTCCCATTCATCTCAGCTAAAGATGCAAAATGTTTTACTTGTCACATTTAATATTTCTTTATCAGAATTTATAATATAATCATGTTATTTTAATGAATTACACTTGTACCTCAATCCAATTTAAAAAAAAAACAATTAGTCTTGGCCAGGTGTGGTGGCTCACATCTGTAATCCCAGCACTTTGGGGGCCCGAGATGGGGGTATCATGAGGTCAAGAGATCAAGACCATCCTGGCTAACATGGTGAAACCCTGTCTCTACCAAAAATACAAAAATTAGCTGGGCATGGTGGCGTGCCCCTGTAGTCCCAGCTACTCGGGAGGATGAGGCAGAATTGCTTGAACCCGGGAGGCGGAGGCTGCAGTGAGCCCACATCGTACCACTGCACTCCAGCTTGGCGACAGAGCGAGATTCTGTCTCAAAAAATAAATAAATAAATAAATAAATAAAATTAGTCTCATGATTACAGGAAATATATAATTAAAAAAATTTCAATTTCTATGCATATTTATGATGCAAGATGATGACTTCCAAGAATAACCATGTATTAAATTAGGATAAAATTCAGAGGGCTACGTGGAATGGAAATTTGAGTTCTAGGAAAACAGTTACATACAATTTCTGACTATTTAATAAACTTTGTCCATGTATTTTAAATAAAAATTTATATATTATTTAGATACATCTAAAAGAATGTCATTGCTTTGTTCAAAACTGATATTTACATGTCAAAAATGATACACTTTGCAACTTATAAAAATGTAGTTGTCAACTAAATGTTATTAATAGATGTCAACTGGATGTGTGAGGATGATGCATCATTTCCCAAAAATCTGTTGGAAGCATGTAAGCAAAAAGCGTGAAGACCCTCATACCAGAGGGTAACTGGGGTCATGCAGGTACATGGGGCTGCTACTGGCTCAGGCTTCAGGGAAGTGGGTGCCAGGGGCTGAGGGTCCTGTGTTGCCTAGTGCAGCAGCCCCACACAAGGAACAGGTATGCTACCCCCAGAGACTCTGTTTGGGGCTTCTCTGCCTATCTGAGTCACGACGTTTCCCACTAGGAAACTGGGCTGAGGCTGGCCTCCAATGCTGCAAGCAGTGGGCAGCCTGTGTTTGCAGGACATATTTCCCTGACAAAAGGTATCACGGATCCCTTCCAGAAGAAATGGGAGGGAGTTACTATAGCAGGGCCCAGACACTATCTAGAGATAACATGCTTGGGAAGATTTACATCAGTGATGCTTTGGATAATTTCAAAACCGGTCACATTCTCATCCCACTTCACTCGTAGGCCTCCAACGGCTGGCTTCACACAGTCCCACACCTCCTCTGGTGTCCCATATACAATGCCTTCTCCTCGGTACCTGGAGCACAAAAAGGAATTTGACCCCAATGCATCAATCAAATTTGTTTATCTTGTGATTGTATCTAAGGACTAGAAGGTGAACCATGCCATGTCTGTCACTACTCTTTTGGGACAGGCTTGCAGAGAAGGGGCTGAAACTTACTCGACCCACCTCCCTTCAGGCCTGCAGAAATGGACAGTGAGCTTTCACAAGAATACAGTTTGCTGAAAATGATTTCATTAAAAACAGTAAGGCTTTTCTGGAGGACAATTGATTATGGGTTGTAGGGTTGATCTGAATATTTTAAAAGGCAAACCCATAAAGATACCAGGAAGGGTGCGGCACCTCTGGTAAGCTTTGAACGAGGCATGCACTTACAGGTTCCCTGGAAACTCCACAGATGGCCTCCAGGAAACTGAAACTCCATTCTGTCAAAAGGCACAGAACCATAGAATTTTAGAGCTAGAAGGTCTCTGGTCACCTGGCTTAATCCCCTGTTTTACAGAAGAGGGGTCAGAGGCCTCAAGAGATACAACTTTCCAAGGCTGTGCAACCCATACGTGGAAAAGCTGGGACTAGTCTTGGGCAAAGCTGTCCCCACAGCAGAATGTGATGAAGAAAAAGATCTCAACTGGCTGACTCCAAGAGCCGTGGGTGGTTTTCAAATTATCTAAAAGCCACCATGCATTTTGTTTCCTTGAGCAACCCAGGGCTACTTGCTAAAAGTCAGAAGTGTCAAGCAAAACTACCCCCATGCTACCCTCTGGCAACGACAAAGAGAGGGGTTCACGCTGTAATGAACAGAGTAAAGGCTTTAGAGGCTGGTGTTAGGGTTCCAGTTCTAAACAGCATTCAACAGCCAGGTGACCTTGGGTAAGTCACTGAGTGAAAGGAACAAGATAGCACCTTAAGTCATTGTAAGCATAACAGGCCCAATCTTTTTTTAAAACAATCCCCATTGGAATCCCTCTCAATCGGGTCCAGGGGAGTGGGGTGCAGAAAACAACGGGGAGAGGAATGGCTTGGGGGCTTCTGGGTACCCGGGCTCCACGAAGCGGTCTCCGGGACCCCTTCCCGCCCAGCTCCTCACTCACGCCTTCCCGGCAAATCTTCCAGCCTGCTGTGTCACGCCGGTACCGGAGCACCTTCTCGGCCACAGCCTCGCTCATCTGGGCTGCCAGCGTCGGGTCCATTGCGCCAGGAGCTGCGCTTGGCCGCGGGGTCGCTGGTGTTTTGAGCGGCGGCGCTGGATCCGGGGTGCCAGAAAGCTGGAGTTCTAGGAGGAGCTCGTAGCCCCGCCTCTTTCCCCGCCCCCGCTCCCGAATTGGTGCAGGCCCTCAGACGGATCCCGCCTCCCTAAGATTGGCAGGACCACAGACTGCGGGGCCAGGCTCTCCAGTTAGCATCAGCGCCTGGGCGGGTCCCGGAAGCCTTGGGGGTGCCTGGTAAGGTCCTGCTGTATCCGCCTGCTTCTTGTCCAGTTGTGGGAGGGGCTCTGGAGCCCCGGGACTCTAAGATAGCCAATGACGGAGACCCGTTGGGCCAGGCCAGGTCGCAGACAATGTCGACTGTTTGTTTAAGAAGCGTGGACTCTTGTCCTGAGTGCACCGAAGCTTTCAGCTTGCGGGACGGTGGTGCGATTTGCGTTAGAGGTGCAGGGTGGGAGAGGAAATGCGCGTGGAGACTGGGCACGTGCAATGGTGGGAGAGGTGTGGGGCAGGGGTGCGGGGAGTGGCGGTGAAGAGAAGAGGACCCATCGTAGAGTATTTAGGAGATGGAAGGTGAAAGTCTCTGCCCCCGATTGTGGATGTTCAAAAGGAGAAAGCATCATGACTCCCAGCCTTGGCCACCTGGCAGCTTACCTGAGATGGAGAAGAGATAGGCCGAGTTCAGTTCTGGGCATATTTAGTTGGAGGTGCCTGAGGGGCCTCTAGTACAGGTGTCCAGGAGTCAATGCAATGCGCTGACATTAGCGAGAGGCCCGGCTTTATTAAAGATATGGGAGTTCTCTGCTTCCAGCTTCCCTGGAGCTGCGAAGAGTGAGCCAGGGTCGCGTCTTCCCAGTGTAAATAGCAAGGACAGCCTCGGTTTCCCCTTTTCCCCTCTTCTGCGCTATCACCAACTGAATATTTGAAAAGGTCAATATTGAGGTCTGTTTCTTATCTTTCTTTTTTGTGTACTTATTGTTTCCTTTAAACTTTGGATATAAATGTTTGGAAGAGTAGTGTAAACAAAATGACAACTTGAAAGACCTTTTTGGAAGATATGAAGGGCAGCCAGGCTGTGAAGAAGGCCTGGATGGGGAATTACGGAGCTCAAGATCTAGACCCAGTTTCACTAATTATTCTTTGAGCTTCAGTTCGCTCCAAGGTGAAATGGGATACATCATAAATGTTCCTAGTGGGGTCTGGTGGCTCACACCTGTAATCCCAGCACTTTGGGAGGCCGGAGCAGGAGATCACTTGAACCCAGGAGTTCGGGACCAGCCTGGGCAACATGGCGAGCCTCCGTCTCTACTAAAAATACAAAAATGAGCCAGGCATGGTGACGAGGGGCTGTTATCCCATCTACTTGGTGGACTGAGGTGGGAGGATCGCTTGAACCCAGGAGGCAGAGGCTGCAGTGAACTGTGACTGCACCAGTGCACTCCAGCCTGGGCTACACAAAGCAAGACTCTGTCTCAAAAATTAATAAAAATAAACAAACAAACAAATGTTCCCTATGGCCTTGTGAAGAGCAAAGGAAGTAACTCATGTGAATACTCTCAGGACCCATAAAATAAAAGACTAGTAAATTAACCCCAATTAAAATTAAGCACATCAAAATTTCAAAACAAGTTAGATAATATGAGAAAAAATCAGGACACACTTTAACACATAAGTTTTCTTATTGAACCAAGGGCTCATACAAATCATTAAGCAATTTTCAGACAACCCTATAGACAAAAAGAATGCATTAGACATGGAAAGATACTTTGTGGAAAAATTAATTGACATGACTAACAAAGCTATAAAAAGATGCAGAACCTCACTCATTGTTAGGGAATTAAAAATTAAAGCAAGGAGAGGCTTTTTTTAAACCTATTGATCGACAGACATGAAGAAGTTTGTTTATACCCTGTGTTGGTGAGGGTGTGGAGAAATAGTTATACACTGTGGATGAGAGTATAAATGTATGCAACCTCCTGGGAACAGAATAACAACATGTATTAAAATTTTACTCTACTTGTTCTTTGATCCAGAACTCTTCCTGCACAAAGACGTATAAAATTAATCTTGCAACTGGAAGCAACCTATTTAACAGTATATTAAACAAAGTTACAGAACATCCATTTAGTGGAATATTATGTAGCCATCAAAATAACCTAGCACAGATGGTGGAAAGTGGGGGTGAAGCAGATCCCCTGTAGGACTATAGTAGCACTATTTTGCTCCTAGGAAATGGGAACGTCTGGATATACAAAATATTTGGAGAAGCAAACTGTTTGTCCCCGAGGCCTGTGACAAACTGGAAGTAGGAGATTGGTGAGGTTGGGGCAGCCTCGGAGCAGGCCACTCATCTATTTTATCACTGGAGGCTGGCACAGGGCAGAGTGAGCAGATGGTTGGAACAGAGGGAAGATGAGAGCTGCCCACACAGTGGTTCCCAGGGGCCTGGGACAGAAATCTATTTTGTAGTCTGTCTGAGGCTGCAGTTTGGAGCTGAAGGGGATGGAGGAATGACAGCTCTGGAGATTCCGTTGATCAGAGCCCTTCCCACAAGGTCCTGAGAGGCCTCTGAGTCACCCAGTTGTCCACCAGACTTCATCAAAGTCCCAGTTGAATTTTTATTAGGTGTATATGGGGGTAGGTAGTCCAGTAGCTTCTAACTCACACCACCACCAGACAAACTATAGAGGGGATGGGCCCAAGTGTCTACATGCTCCAATCTTACAAGGCCCTGAATAGAGTGCAGTGTCTGCTTTCCACTTAGACACTGATGAAGAATTGCATGCATATTTACTAAGTTAGCTTGGGCAGATGCTATGTGAATCTACAAATGTAAGCATGTCTATGTTTATTGTTTACTCAGCAACAGCTAATCATTACTCAGCACTTACTTCTTGCTAGCCACTATCCTAAGCACTTTACCTGTATTGGGCCATTTAACTTCACAACAATACCGCAGCACCATTTTGCAATGGGAGTAGTAGGGTATCCAAGGCCATACAGCTGGGAAGTGGCAGATCTATGGCAAACATCCAATTTCTCTTTCCAAAGGCCACGTGTTCACTCATATGCTTTACTGTCTACTACATCCTATGAGTATATGTAGTGTTAAGTGTGAAATGTGCAAAGATAAAACAACAACCTGCAAACTCTAAAAAGAAGGAAAACACACACACACAGAGTAGCTGGAAAATATTACCTTAGGCTAGGGAAGTTAGTCTTTTAGAGATGTGCAGAAAACTTTGCTCTAATTTTCCTGGCACTCGTGAATTCTGAGACAAAAGGGGTGACTAAAGGAAGCATTCTGAGGTTACTAAGATATTTACTGAACTACTCTTATCGAAAGGAATTCACTCTTTAATGGATATTATAGTCTGATCTTTGAGACCTGAGAGGAGTTTGTTATGTAGGTGTTTTTAGGAGAGATTTTAATAATGCTGTGGATCATGTCCTCAATAATAGTTTGACCAAAGGCAGAAACGTACACCCCCATGGACTGTTGCTAAAATACAAAGCAATGTTGTGAAACCACAGTTATGCAGAGGCATTTTGACAGTGTAGGTTTGTGGCTTTCTGTTCCTGCAACTTAGACAAGGGCTAGAGTTCAGGGAAGGGAAAGGGATAACTGATTATCATGTGGTGCTTTTGTCAGGAGCTTTATGAGCTCCTTTCACAGCAATGATGGTTGATGTTTACAGAAAAAGGAACAAAGGTGTTGACTAGGCAATCGATTCTCAGAAGAGGAAATGCAAATGGCCAGTTGACTTAGGGAGAGATGATAACAATCAAAAGTGCAATTTAATTAAAATAAGTTGGTGTAATTTTTTCATCAGATTGGCAAAAATGAGATGGTGTGACCGTATCAGGCCTTGGTGAGGCTATAAGGAAAGAGCCCTCTCATGCTCTAGAGGAAGTGTGCACAGACGTCTGGACTTGTGAGGACTAATAAAGGAGCTGCTAGTGAAAATGAACATGCTCATCTCTTATGAGCTAGGGATTTCTCTTTTTGGAGGACCGATATTCACTTCTAAGTAAACACTGGCACATGTGTGTGCCAAGAAGATACATGAAGACGGACATATAAAAGATGTTTAGTGCAACACTATTTTCAGCAGCAAAGAAGTAGAAATGATTTCAATGTCCATCAGTAAAAAAAAAATGGATCAATATTATGTAGTTTATTCACACGATGAAATACTTTGCTACAGTCATAACGAGTTTGGTCTATTTTTTTGCTAAAAATATAAACATGTGCATTAATACATGCAGTATAATACTGTTTACTTAAGATGTGCTTACACATTGTTTATGGATGCTTATACATATATACTCACACATACAACATATAAAACTATAAACGATTGGTCAATGGCTGTACTCCAAACTCTTCCTAGTGTGAAGGGAATGAGACTTTGTGTAGGGATTAGAGTAGACTTTGACTGTATCTGTAATATTTTCTGTATTATTAATAGTAACAAAATGGCTAAATGGAAATAAAATTCCAATCTTGGCAGTTGTTGACCCTCACAGTAGGAATATTGGTGCTTGTCCCAGTAGACTTTGCACTATTCTATGTCTTTTAAATTTAATTAAATTAAAAACCTAACCCAACAGTAAGTGCCAGAGTGCATGTGAGCTGTGTTGTGCATGGGAGAGTGATACTCATACTTTCAAGGCTGTTTGGCCACTCTCAAATTTTCTTAGGAATGTCTCAGGACCTGCTTGTCCTCAAGTCCTAAAGAAGCACCTCCCCATTCCCACACAGACAATGGTGCTCCCACAGGTGTCTGGAGGAAAGGCCAGCCTTTTCCACAATATGTTTTAATGTCCCAGGGAGCTTGAGGCCACAGTCCCAGACCAAGCATCTGGAAGAGGGGACCATCATGATGAACGTCCCATGAGCATCTCTATCTCAAAAGCACATTTCCATGGCATTGTAGAACACTGAATCTTGAGCAGACTGCAACCTCTTGGATTTGTCATGTCAAGATATTTGAAAATACATCCACTCCTTTTCCTAAATTTCAGGAGAGGTGTTAATCTGTGTGTACTTTTAAAATGGTAGTATTTACACTGTTCTTTCTGTTTAGAATTGGTGATATATCTTAGAATATAACCCTGTGATTCATTCATTAGGACAATTCTTTCATTTATTTGTTCGCCCATTCACGTTCAACAGATGTTTACTGTCTGTGGTCGGCCTCCAAGATTGCTGCTCCCTAGTATACATGCCCTATATAATCTTCTTCCCTTGAGTATGCTGGCACTTGTGTATATGATGATATTTTACTCCCAGATAGAGTAAAAGTGAAGCGATTTTGAAGATGTAATGAGATCTCCACTCAGTTAACTCTGAGTTAATCAAAAGAGAGTATCTGGGTGGGCCTGACCTAATCAGGTGAGCCCTTTTAAAAAGTGGGTTCAGGCTTTCCCTGGAAGGAAAGAGATTCAAAACTGAAGAAACACTCTCTTTCTGGCTTTGAAGATGCAAACAGCCATGCTGTGGAGAGGGCCTTGTGGCAGGGAGTTGCGGGCAGCCTCTAGGAGTGGAGGGCCTCAGTCCTAGGACCTCAAAGAAATGAATTCTGCCAGTAATCACCTGAGCTCGGAAGAGGACTCTGAACCTCAAATGGGATGCCAGCTCTGGCAGACACCTGGATTATAGCCTGGTGAGACCCTGAGCTCAGGATCCACCTAAGCTGGGCCTGGACTCCTGATCCATGGAAACTGAGATGATAAGTCTGCATTCTTTTAAGCCTACTAAATTTGTTATACAGTAATAGAAAACGAATACAATATCTAAGTGTCAGTTACTGAGAATGCAGAATGAATACAACACCATTCTTGCTGCAAAGACACAATCTGGTGGAAGAGACAAATGTTTAAAAGACACAATTTAGAGTGAAGAGAGTTATCCTGGAAATTTGAATCAGGGTGTGCTCCTGGTTAACCATGGCAGATTGAACACACTGCTGCCCAAACCCTGCAGAATGCCCGTAGAAGAATCCAAGGACATCAGCCCATAAAGGTGAAGATGATGTGAAGGGGACAGGGAGTGTGGGGGGAAACACAGAGGGTGTGTGTTCTTCCCTCTGGACTTACTGGCTGGGTGGTGTAAACCCGGCATTTTCTGTGGCTGTGATTTCCTTCTCCATTGACTACATGGAGGAAGCCTGTTGCCAGTAGGAGAAAATGACGTCAACAAACATCGAAATAGAGCAGAGAGGTGAAAAGAGATTCCCGAGGATGCTTTAATGCCCTGGCTCCAGTTGGGCCTAAGGCTAACTTGATTCCCATCCTTCCCAGTTAAGCAAACAAGTAAACCTTAGGGATAAATCATGGATTATTTCCAATCTAAGTGTCCTGATTTATTAATACAGATATACTGCCCAGTTAGCACAGTAAAATAAGTTCTCACTAAATGTTATTTACTCTTGTCATTACTAAACTGATTATTCGTACAAACTAAGCATTGTGATATCTTTAAGGGTGGCCACCTGATTTGGGGTGCTTATTAGAGAAGATGACTTTTGTCTGTTGAAAGACAGCATTGCAATACAAACAGTTCACTCGTATCATTCCGATATCTCAGGTGAGGCTTCAGCAGGCAGGATGAGATCTCTGGCTTGCTTATGATTTGTGGTCAACCCAAAAGGAGGCAAAGCACTGAGTTTCATTGAAATGATAGCCTGATGTGCTTCTGGATGCAAAGAGCCCCAAGGAAACAATCGGCGCATGGGTGGTAGTGTTGCAGTGGGTAGTGTCAGACATGAGCAGACAGTGGGGGCTCCTGCCAACGAAATGTTGTGGGACAAAGATGGGAGACACCGAACAGAGTGAGTTCAGGAAAGTTCTTTATTAAAAGGTGATCACCTGGCTCAGTAGGACTAGTGTCCAGGAAAGTCTGAGCCCTGGAGAAAGAAAGCAGCCACCTTTTAAGCAGTCAGTGGCCGGGAGCTACATGAGGCAGGAAGTGTATTACAGAAGCGAGAACAAAGGCAGTTGATCAATCTTTTACGTTTATCTACACTACATGTTCCACATCCCTTGGAAGCCATGTTTCTGCATCAACCTTGTAATTTTGCAGCTGCACTAGGGAGTTGACGCAGGAACTCACTGAGCCTCAAGGAATGTGAAACTAGCAAGTACAGATAAGGCTTGCTGAGCACAGAAGGAAAAACAGGCAGTTAGTATTCTTCTTTAACTTACACTATTGGGGAGCTACACTACACTTAGCTTTTGAAGGAAAATGTAAAAATTTTTGGTTGTCTTTGATTATACTTGTAAAATTCATGAATTCCTTCTTCAACACAACCCCCAGGAATGTCAGGCGACCATCAGGTGATGGTCAGGTGGCTGTTAGTTGTCTCTCTAAAATAATAATTGGTCACAGCTGGCACCAGGGAAAGCCAGTCTCTCAATAGATAGAAAAAACCTGAAACTGGTGGTCAGCAGCTTCCTGATGAAATGTCAGGAGTGGGGTGAGTGGGCTCAAGGATGCGCACTAAAAGACATAATGTAGCATTCCGGTGGTAAGGGAAGAACCTTGAGTGAGCATGTGCACAACGCCAGTAAACACACTGCACATGCTCCCCTCCCAAGAGCTAGCAGGCCACTACTGCGCATGCGGACAGCCCACCCCAAGGGAAGAAAGGGAAGAATGGGGAAGAAGTAACGCAAGACACCGGAAGCATGACAACGTGTAAAACCCCAAGGCAGAGGTCAAATGGCGCACTCGATCTCTCAAGTCGCCTGCTTGCCCCTCTACTAAATATATTTTACGTTCTTCCATTCCTGCTTTAAAGCTTTTCAGTAAACTTTCATGCCTGCTCTAAAAGTTGCCTCAGTCTCTCCTTCTGTCTTGTGCCCCTCTGCCAAATTCTTCTGAGGAGGCAAGTATTGAGGTTGCTGCAGACACGTAATGATTCGCTGCTGGTAACACACTTGGGTACCACCTAACTCGGATACATTTGGCTAACAGTAGCTATAGAATAGGTACCTGTAGCCCTGTCAGCCTCAGAGCCTCAGCTAGCAGCGGCTGGCCATGCCCCTCAGGTCTCTAACACACGTGTTCACCTCTTTTTCCAGAAAGGGAGATACCATGTGCTGGCCCAGCACTCCAATAGGGGCCTGACCTCTAGGAACGGGACACTGGAGGAAGCCTAGACATTTGAACAAATCAAGTCATCCAGATCCATGGTCAGCTCCTGCCCCGACTTGGCCTTCCTCCTGCTGGGCTGGCCCACGGACCTCGGGAACCTGCCCTGGCTGTGGGTGACCTGCAGGTACTGGTCAGCACTGCTGTTCTGCTGGTCACTGCTGGATGCTGCCGACACGGAGTCAGATTCCGTGAGGGATGGCTCAAACCTGGGCTTCCCTCTGGGCTTCAGAGGGGGCTGTGCGTATTGGAAATTCCGGGATCGTGGCTTTTTGGGCACATAGGCTGGCCTCTCAAGGTGACCCTCGAAATCTTCCTTCCACGACTTGTAGTGCACCCTCCCCTGGTGCTTGGGAGCCAGGTTCTGACTTTCGGACCTCTCCCCAATATAAAAATGAGGAGCCCGACGGAGGTCTATCAGAGAGCGTGGGGGAAGAGACTGTTTGATCCAATCTCTCCTTGGCGTCTCCTCCTCTTCTTCACTCAGCTGTGGGGAGGGAGGCTGGCGGGGGACCCAGGATGCATATTGTTGCACGTTCCTAGGGTACAGCTCCACAATGTCACCTGAAGCATCTATCTTGAAATGTCTTTCTGGCCAGACATTTAGATGTTTTTTCTTGTAAGAGTCACGTTCATTAATGACGTAGTATCTGGGGGTGTGGGGCTTGGGACCCTGTGTCACCAAAGTCGAGGCCTCTGGTTCACGGTGAGGTGGGTTCATTTGCTGAAAGTCTTTTCGGAAAAGAGGTTCTGAGTGTACATCTTCGATGTGCTTTGTAAATGTCATAGGTGTGCGCGATCTGTTCCTGTGAAGGTCGCTGGTGCTTGCACACAGACCATGCAGATACCTGTAAGACAGGGGCGGTTAAGTAACTGTGGCTTTGGTGGTCTGAGAGCCCCACACCTGAGGACTGTGAGCTGTCAGCGGTTCTCTGAGCATTTTCACTGAGGCTGGTTCCAACTGGATAGTGGGTGTTCTGTCGATTGTGAGCACAGAGACATTTGGGGGACTGGGCTAAACGGTTTTGTTTACTACTGGCATTTTCAGAACCCTAAATCAGTGATGTACACGTGAGTCTCCACGAAGAGTGCAGAGCGAGGGGTACTGTGCTAGTGTATTTGTATTTCATCACAGAGCCCTCTTTGTGTCAGGAGGCACATAGTGGGACTAGTGTCTGTGAAGCACATGTTAGGAACACAGTTTCTCATCCTTTCTGCTAAGCAGCTGTCTGACTTTTCAAGCACTTCTCTGAGTTTCCACAGGTGGCTGGAGGGGAGTTGTACATATTAAACAGTTCTTCCCTGGCCAGGTACAGTGGTTCACACTTGCAATCCCAGCACTTTGGGAGGCCAAGGCAGGTGGATCACTTAAGGTCAGGAGTTTGAGACCAGCCTGGTCAAGATGGTGAAACCCGGTCTCTATTGAAAATACAAAAAATAGCCGGGTGTGGTGGTAGGTGCCTGTAATCCCAGCTACTTGGGAGGCTGAGGCAGGAGAATTGCTTGAACCTTGGAGGTGGAGGTTGCAGTGAGCCGAGATTGTACCACTGCACTCCAGCCTGGGTGACAAGAGCGAAACTGTCTCTCAAAAAAAAAAGAAAAGAAAAGAAAAAGAAGTTCTTCCTCATAAGGACTTGATCTGTATGGTGGCTGTGGCTTGACCACTGGTGGCCTCCCAAGGAGTGTTTGAACCCTTTCTCCTTGTCAAGAACCCACAGAGACATGCAGACAACTCCTTATATAAGAAGACTTCAAGTTCTTTGCTAACTTAGTCATTATCTTTAAAAAAGAGAGCCCCTGTATTTTATCTATATTGCTTTCGCTGTGCTACATTCAGATCAAATGAGTTTGGGCCACTGCAGGTCTATCCCCTTCATCTTTCCAGGGGTCCGACCTCCATTAAAGTAGGAAGGGATCTACTGCTTTCGTTGACCCCATGTAATGCATAAATGGTCCTGCCAATAACTTGACCAGACTAGAGCTAAAATATGGAAGATCTTGCCAATAATACGACCAGTGTGGAACTAAAAAATAAATAGTTATTTTCTTAGCCTAGACAAATGTTTATCCTAGGTTGACTAGCAGGTTTGCTTACAAGTTAAATGGCAGATAACCTAGGAGGAAGAATTTGTCCTGTTTGATAAACTTTGACACCCCCAGCCCGCCTCCATTTCTTCTCAGTACCAGCTGTCACAGTCTCCTGACCCCATGTCTTCTGGGAGAATTAGAATTTAATGGCCTTGGCCTCCTGAAGCTGCTGAGGCCTTCAAATCTCTCACTTTCCAGGTTTTCATCTGTGCTGCAGTGGAGCCTCACCTGTTAGTTTCATGCTCTAGCCTGGATTTGGAGACCCCAGGGAGAGGTGAGCTAGGAGCCCTGTCCCCTGGCCTGGGACTCTGGGGCGTGCACTGTGCGACTGTCTCTATCCTGCCACCCTTGCTGCTCCCTGAGTCAAAATGGACCACGTTGCCGTTGTTTTGGGGTGTGCCCGAGTGCGCTGAGGACAGCTGGCTGGTAAGATCACTGTTGTTTGGAAGCTTCTTGGTGCTTTCTTCCTGGGTCTGGATTCGGGCTGCAGGGAGAGGGAGGCATTGTGAGAAGACAGGTGTCACTGAGCAGGTGACACCTTCAGGTGAGGTGAGTTGCAAGAGTTTTATGACATCCAAGAGTTGGTCCACAAACAATTGAGTTCACTTACAAATACACCTAACCAGTGGGCAACAAACATTCTGTAATTCAAATGATTTCATCCCTGCAAGTTGGAGCTGGGAGTGTAGGAGGAATCAAGTGAACACAGGGCTTTATAGTGCTCCATCTGATGCTCCCATGAGGCAAAGCAAGTACTTAACAGATATGGGGCTCCAGTTCCTTATCTATTCAATGGAGATAATAAAGCTTACACAACAATTATGATTCTTTGAAAACAGTTCACATGCATTTTGAAAAAAGATGTGGTCTTGAGCTGGAAAATGAACACCGGACAATGCTATTGTTATACTGAAACAGTCTATGTGGGTTCTGGCTTTTGAAGGTGACCTGAACTAAATTTAATTATGCTTAATGGGCAAATAAGTGATGACAATTAGAGAGGCATTTTATGGCGTGAGCCACAGCCACTTTCAGTAATCATTATCAATTGTAGGCTTCTCTCTGAAAAGCTGATGGAGCAAGCAAGCATAATCCTTAGGCCTTAGAGCTCTTGCTCAGGCATTTTTCTGGAGAGGAATAGGTCCCTTCCAATTAGTGAAGTATTGCAACAGCTGTGTGAGCTAGCCCCTAGAGCCCTTCTGGGTCCCATTCTCATTCATGTACGCTGTGCCATGTTAATGGTGCCCAATAAGCCTTCTGGCTCACAGCACTCTGTTAGTGGTCCTGAGAAACAGATTCATCTCCTTCGAGCTGCCCTTGCCCACTTTCTTCCCTTCAGGCCACAGCATACTTCTACGGCACATGCTTCCATTCTCCCTGCTCTGCAGGGACAGGACAGAACCTAAGAAGGCTCAGGGAAGGGACCTGAGAGGGAACATTGCAAGGAAGAGATGGGCCATGGAGAGAAAGTACACAAAAGTGAACCAAAGAGATTCTTCGGGTTTTCATCCACATGAATGTGCTGATTTTCCTCTCCCACTTCAATACTTCCTTCTGGTTTTACACATGTTTTGGGATTATTCATGGCCCTAGATATGATATAAAAATCGAAGATTTAGAACAACATTTATATCCCTAGACTTTATTTTATTGTGCCTAGTTACTTGTGAAAAACCACAGGTTATCAGGAATTTTTATTGGTAGTATACCGCAAACTACCTTAAATGGCTATATTTTTAAATGCCCACTAACTGAGACAGCAGATCTCTGCATTTAAAAAAAAAAAAATTAGGACAGGCACGGTGGCTCACACCTGTAACCCCAGCACTTTGGGAGGCCAAGGTGGGTGGATCACGAGGTCAGGAGTTTGAGACCAGCCTGACCAACTATGGTGAAAATATAAAACTTAGCCGGGCATGATGGCATGCACCTGTAATGCCAGCTACTCAGGAGGCTGAGGCAAGAGAATCACTTGAACCTGGAAGATGGAGGTTGCAGTGAGCCGAGATCATGCCACTGCACTCCAGCCTGGGCGACAGAGCAAGACTCTGCCTCAAAACAAAACAAACAAACAAAAAGAAACAGAAATACTTACCTTCTACCATCTGGGCAACCTTTTTCTTATCCTCTGATCTTGCCTAAAATGCAAATGATATGCATGTTTGTTTTGGCTTTAGCAGGAAGTAGTAACAAATATTATTCCTGGGGGAAGAAAAAAAGATGTATATGCCATACTTCTTACCTTGGACCATGACTGTACTACTATTGCCCCCTGTGGACAGTATACTCTGGGCTCGGGCCTGTTATTTGAGTGAATAAATGCAGATACCTGAGAGCTGAAGTTTTATGCCTAGCCAATTTTATTTAGGGACAGCTAATTAATAGACCATGTTTAGATTCTGCCTGTAATAGTTTGCCTGAATCACAAAGAAAAAAATATAGATCAACAACACTGGAGATGTATGTTTCCACCAAAACGGCCTTTGTAACTCCAAATGAATTTCAAATTAGAAGCTAATTTGTGTTTCTTTGCATGAATTGATGTTCGTGGGAGGTTTTTTTGTTTTTTGTTTTTTTCCTGATAGAAGTGGAAGGAGTATTTTTGCATGGATGAAGTCAGGGAGGCATCTGGGGCGCCAAATTTCAGAAGGTACTTATTTTCAGGGCTGTGAAAGGACAGAGTCAGCATTACACTTACAGAGCCTCCTTAAATGTGGTGCTTTGGGAACCTCACTGGCCTCATCCCAGTCCTGGGATCCCTCCTGGGGGTCTGGAGGACCCAGGGCACTAAGGGAACACCTGGGGTATGTGGAGGAGGAGAAACTGTGGAAGTTTTGGGAATGTGTGTTTCCCTGGGACTGCTCTGAGAGAGAGGGTTTGAGCCCCGCGGAGAGAAGGTAATGACAGCCACAACGAAAGGATATGAAAGAGGTGAGGCTTTAGGGACAAACAGTGCTGCTGGGCTCAGATGCCCAAGTTGACAAGGATTGGGAAGGGGCCCTTTCTCTCCCTTGCCAATCTACCAGAGCTTGCAGAAGTGCCCGGCACACTGAGGGCTTGGTGTGGTCATAGGAGGGCACTGAAAGGCTTGAGGCAGCAGCAAGGTCCCTTGAGGAGGAAGAAAAACAGGAGCAGGCTTCTTCCTAGCAAAGGTGAGCCATCCTTGGGTATTCTTAGAAATAACTCTTGGACATCTGGGGATGGTGGCCTTGCACCATAGTGGGTGGCCAAGAGTCACAGAACCTTGAAGATGTGACCTCACTTGTATTCCCATGCTGGTAGGACATCAGTCATGTGGTTGACACACATTCATAATAGCAAAGTTCATTAAATACTTGCGTTTTGGATCTGCATTTTGAGCTGGTGGTTGCTGAGCTTTAGCGACCGTGCGATGCTCTGGAGATAATAGATGAGCATGCTGGGACAGAACAACACAGGACAGTGAGTGAACTGCAACTCGCTTTTCTGCTTTTCAGACCACATTCCCTGCAGATAGTTGGCAGGAATGAGAGGCTCCCAGGCCAGATGTGGGCTACCCACTGACCCTCCACTAAGGACTAAATGTATCAGCAAATTCTCAAGTCAGTGAGCACTGGGAAGGGGCCGCTTTTGTTTTCTTTTCCTGGCTTTCCACAGCACCCTCATTGACCTGGAATTCTGTGCTACTGATAGCAATAGGGAAGACCTGAAAATGGGGGAGAAGTTTTGCAGTCTATCAAGCTAAGAGTACAGGATCCACTCACTTTTATTTTTTTCCTTTAAACCAAAACAAGCCAAAGCTACTCAGCCGAGTGGTGAAATTCCTTTTCGGGATTATTTAAATTTCTGGAAAATGAGATGATGATAATAATGGCATTCAGCCCCATTCTAGTGATCATAGTAGTTGACCAAATGGTGTTGATGGATCAATAACCACCTCGACAGCAATGGAGTGCTCCCTCACAGCCCCTCGCTGAGACCCAGTGGCTGTGTCTCCATGGCACAGTGCCTCATGTGACTCTGGTGTGTGACTCAGAGTCCCTGTTGAGATCATCAGGCTCTAAGCCTAAGTGATTTTTGAATGAACTAATAAATTTTATATAATTATTGGAAAGCAGCGTTTTCTTGTTGGCCAAACACACAGAAGTCCCTCCAAAGCTGGCAGGTGTGGTACTCACAAAAGCAGGAGTACCCCGGGCAGGATGACCACGGGGCTACTGATGTGCCCAACCACGGAGCCAAACCACACGGGAAAGTCTTTCTCAATCGTTTCTGACACAATGTCATAAATTTTCTCTTGTCCACTGTGAGAAAGAAAAACATAACTCCAGATTTTATTGCTCTTGGCAGAAAGATGCTGCAAGACATCAGAAAATGGCTGGATGCCTGGAAGCCAATTCATAACATTCCTCAAATGATTTCATATCTAATTAATATGGAGGATGGAAGATGGAGTCATTAATCACATTGCATGTATGTGTGTGTTCTAATCATGTACACTAAGGTAGACTAAATATTACATACATGTGTCAAAGCTGACTTGAATGCTAGATGAAGATGCTAGAGGGGTTTTGCTTGAATACAACTGGATAATGTAGAAAAAAAAGTGCTGTGCACTGTGTTTTAATAAAACCATTTTGTGTTTTGACCAGGTGGAATGTCCTCTAGCACAGAGCCATGCTGTTTTTCTTTTTCACTTTAGAAGGATTATATTTTTTAACATGAGCACAGAGATGATTATACTAAAGGTAGCCTGCTATTAAGGAAAGAGAACTGGTCCTGAATGTAAAACATCTGGGTTTGCGATCTTTTTTCCTGTTTACCTGCTCTGTCAGCCGGGAGGACAATTCAGTTCAATATGATTTAATTCCCCTATAGCTGTCAGTCGCTTTGGGCAGAGCTGGGAACGAAACTTACCTGAATGGCCCACAGTTTAGAGATGGCTTGTATCGGACAATAGCAAAAATAGTTGGCAGCATGCACAGAAACAGCATGAACAGGAGCATTGACAAGTAGAAGTTGTTGGATCTGCAGATAAATCAAATGCCATGCATTAAGTTCACTCCATAGCCAGTTGCCAGGGTTGCATATGCCCAAAGAGCTGCCACAAAAATGGTTGCCCTGACTCTTTGCAAACTACAAATCCTCCTCTCAGGGTTACCTATGAATGGATCTGTCATAGGATCACATGCAGCTTAGAAACCTAGAAATCAGTATTCAAAGGAACTTCAAACCTCTCCCACCCAACCTGTTGATCTAATAAACATTTGCTGAGCACCTGTTCACCTCAAACCATGAGAGTGGTGAACTCACCCTGGCACCCAGGAGTTCCACACAGTAAACTCAATTTATGGAAAAATCTTAGAAGCATTGCCCATCCATCTGGGTCCTTACCTAATGGTTCCCTCTGCTATTCCCAGGCTTGAACTTGTCTCTTATGTCTCGGGATGGTTTGGCTCTTTTGTTTATGATTCCTGACTCTCTCACTTGGGTGTGATTTGCACTCAACTTCTCTGCACATGGCTGCCCAGGGTATGTGTTATGTCTGATTAAGTCCTGGTCCCTGAGCTCTAAGCTAGTGTCAGGGAGTTTGGATGCCCAGGGCTCCCCTGAGGGCAGCTTAGACCAAACAGGTCTAAGGCCCTGTACACAGTTCAGAAAAGAGAATGAAGGGTCAATCTAGTTACTTTCAGCTAGTACGCTCTGTTGGTCTGTTTCTCTGTCTCTCTCTCATGAAAAAGACTTGACTAGAAGAGAATAGAAAATTTCAGAGAGCACAGAATGTAGTAAGAAAGTGGTAAGTTGTGAAACGTCGTTCTCTTTCTCTATCCACAGACACACATACATACATATAATAAATATATATACATATATACAACATATATAAATATATCAAAACATATATCTCTGAATGTATTAACATATGTGTGCTGTCACCAGATAAAATGTAAATGCATTGTCAAGTAGGTCATGAGCAAAAAGTTTGAAAGCCACTGATACAGACACACATAACCATTATGTCAAAGTAAAATAACCGAATCAAAGTATTTAGAATGTGTTATGAATTCACCAAAATGACTAAAATTAAAACAGATAAAAGAATAAGTGTTGGCAAGGTTATAGAACAACTGGAACTCTCATATAATGCTGCTAGACATGTAAACTGGGGTGATCATTTTAGAAAACCTTTTGGTGCCATTTGCTAAAGGTGAACATACGCCTGCCCTGTGGCCCAGCAATTGCATTCCTAGGTATATATGCAACAGAGACACTTGGGATGTCCAAGACAGCATTACTCATTATGGCTAACAGCTGGAAGCAACCTACATGCCCATCAACAGGAGCCAAGGATAAAGAAATTGGGGTGTATTTCCTCACTGAGGTGAATCTCACAAACACAATGTTGAGTGGAAGCAGTTGGGCACAAAGGAGCACATACCGTGTGTGTGTGATCACGTTTGCATCAAGTAAAAGCTAGGCAAGCCTAATTATGCCATTAGAAGTTGGCAGTGATTGGAATTGCATGCAAGTGGGCATGCTCTGGGTACCATTTGTGTTTTGTTTTTTGATCTGAGTGCCTTGTGTTCAGTTTTTGAAAACTCATCAGGCTGAACATTTATGATTTGTATACTTTTTTCTAAAGGATTATTAAACTTTGGCAAAAAGTTTTAAAAGTGTCATGAGTTCAAGAGGAGTGAGGATTCATTGAACGAGTAAGGCATTGGAAATGGCTCTTGGAGGAGATAAAATTGGAGGACAGGCAGGATTTTGACAGGAAGAGAGTTGGGGGGACTCCTTGCTAGAGGACCCCTGGGTAAGGCAGACATGGATTATATGTATACAGATATCTGCATAATCAGATCTTATTCTTACTCACCTTGAGGCTCGAAATACTTGCTGGTGGGGCACATTGCAGGTCAGCACAGCCCAGCTCCTCAGGTACATGAGCCCAATGAGTTTGAGAACGTTGAATGCTGGGAGACATGGGGAGAAGAAGGCCCCCATCCTGGAACCATGAGGAAGGTCAGTTTGCATCTGTTCTCTTCCAGCCTGTCTCCCAGGACTATGGAAGCCCCATGTAGGAACATGGTTCTAAGACTTTGGGGCTTACACCCTATGCTTAAAGAACTGGAAAAGCCCCTGAAGTCCCGACACCACAACCCTCCACCTTCTAAAGATAAGACAAGTCACTGAAGGTGGGTGTTGATCCTATTTAAAAATATTCTCTTTGCAAAGGACAACTGTTTGTCTCTCTTTTCACAGTTGAGCAAAGGAAAATCCTCTTCTGGGAAGGAGGCAAATAATGGATAACTACTGTTTGGGGCCAGCTCTTGGTTTTGTTTATCTATGATGAGGACTATGTTAATAAATTACTGACTTTCAGGTTTAATCAACATATGTTGAGCACCTAGTTTTGCTGGATATGGCATTAAGCATCCTCACACATTTCAGTTTGTTTACTCTTCTGCAGTAGTGAGAGAAGAGGTAAATATCCAGTTGATAGACAACAAGGGTAGATATGGGGAAACCAAAGACATGTTGCTAAGCCAGACCCTGTATCATCCAAACCTGGGAGACTTGGGGAGTGAAATAACTGAGCCCACAGGCAAGAACCAGATGATCCCAGGAAAGCTGGGACTTATGGTCACCCTGAAAAGAAATGTCAACTAGGTGACAAAACCCATGTCTTCAGACTTCAGTCTAAATCAGTTTATATTGGATATGCATTCAATCTAATACTTGTGGAATTTGGGTTTAGTGGTATGAAAATAAGCGTAGACATAAGAATATGTTTCATAAGTAAAATGTTTCTAACAAGAAATGTTCAGTTGTCACTATCTGTTGGATGTTAGGCAAGACACTTAGCTTCTCTGCATTTCAGTTTTCTCATCTTTAAAAAGGGGAAGGTAATGGCAGTTACCTCAAGGGTTTACTGTAAGGATTAAATTAGTTACTATAGGTAGAAAAGTACTTGATATCTAGCACTGTTAAATAAGTGTCACATATTATTTATTTTTATTTATTTATTTATTTATTTTTGAGACGGAGTTTTGCTCTGTCACCCAGGCTGGAGTGCAGTGGCATGATCTTGGCTCACTGCAAGCTCCGCCTCCCGGGTTCATGTCATTCTCCTGCCTCAGCCTCCCGAGTAGCTGGGACTACAGGTACCCGCCATCATGCCTGGCTAATTTTTTGTATTTTTTAGTAGAGACAGGGTTTCACCGTGTTAGCCAGGATGGTCTCGATCTCCTGACCTCGTGATCCACCCGCCTCAGCCTCCCAAAATGCTGGGATTACAGGTGTGAGCCACTGTGCCCGGCCAATGTCACATATTATTTTTAATACTGTATTTGTAAAGATATTTTGCAAAATACAGCGGACTATAAGAACACATAATTTGACAGGAGGCATATTACTTTATACCTCTCAATTGCCATGTATTTTACTGAATTATTATGAAGAGAGAGAGTGTTTTCTGGATGTATGGAACGTCCCAGGTTCTTTTTTTTTTGTTTGCTTGTGTTTTAACAAATAGCACTATTTCTGGTCCAACAGGTAAAACCAGAGATGGTGGGATCATTTAAGGAGCTCTCCATTGCGGCCCACAGACACACACATATGTGTGGGTGGGATCACAGGACCCCTCCAGCTCCTCAGTGTCTTCAAGGACAGGATTGCCATGGCCTGGGAGGTGCCATGGGTGAACAGACTTCCCTACTTCCTGTCTCCCCAAGGGTGGGCCTGCAGTCTGGGGGATGGCTGTGCTCCTGGGCCCAGTGTCTAAGTGAAAATTAGGAGGAAAATGGAGGGAGGGTGGCGAGCGAGGACAGACTGGCCAAGGTCCCCTGCAGCCACTCCTGAAGTCCTCACTAAGGAGAAGCAGCCTCTCCTCCCAGTCTTACCCTAGTCCTCCCTAAGAGTATATTCTGCTAGTTTCTGTGCAGATTTTTTTGGCTGTGACCAATAGTAGCTTAAACATGGATTATTTTCTTTTTAATTTCTTCCTGCAAATTTCTTAGGAAACCATCAATAAAATTAATATACATGTGAAATAGTTCTCTTGGAAACATCCTTTCTTAATGTTTATAACTGTGTTTATTATGGCCGTGCCCCATCCAGACTAAGTAAATTAAAATCTTAGCCCAGATGAGATGTAAGTAAAGGCAAGAAGAAACTTTGATACCTACCAAATCATTCCTTGGTTGTAGACTAAATGTAGCACATTCTCAGCTATTTTGAATTCTCCATATTCAGGCTACAAGAGAAAATAAACTTGTGCATTAAACAAGTTCCAAAGTTCTTTGCATGAACCCATTTATTACAGACACTTATATAGACTTCTTTGCTTTTATGAGCACTTAAGAGATCAGTGCTTGTGGGGCCCTCCCAGCAAATGGTAAATGTTAAGAAGGGGTGGGGCTGGGCATTGTAACTTGTGCTGTAACCCCAGCACTTCGGGAGGCTGAGGCAGGAGTTCAAGTCAGGAGTTCAAGGCCAACCTGGGCGACATAGTGAGACCTCGTCTCTACAAAAAAATTTTAAAACTAGCTGGGCATGGTGGCACATGCCTGTAGTCCCAGCTACTTGGGAGGCTGAGGCAGGAGGATCGCTTGAGCGAGACCCTGTCTCAAAAAAGAAACAAAAAAAACAAGGAAGTAGAAGCTCAGCTTTCTGCACCTGTCTCCTCTTCCCACTTATATTCTCTTTCCATGTGTGCCCCTCAGCTATGCTGGACTGTTTCCCAGCCCCAGCATGAGAAAGGATGGATTTGGCCATATAAACTTTCCCAACAGACACAGCATTTTACTTACAAACTTGTTTTCCAGATCCCAACACCAGTAGTCACTTAAGTACCGCACGAAAAGTCCTCGGAAGAAGTCTATGAGCAGAATGCTCGCCACGGTGAAGAGCATATCAATGATGGAGAGCTTCAGCATCTCCTGAAACACAGGAGTGTCCCTGGATGCCACCATGCCCCACCCTTCCCACGGTCACTCTTCCTTCGGGGTGCTCCTAATCTCTGTTCATTGCTGTGGGCCCCAGCCAGTGGGCCCCTCCAATGGCATCCTCATTTCTCATATTTGTAAGTTGCAGTGGGCAGAGGACTGGGCTTCTGGTACATAAACGGTGCTCAATAAACATTGGGTAATTTGAATGTGAATTTTGATATCTGAGGCCAGCATCACATGAAACTAGGAAGGAATATAAGGTCTGTGGTTCTGAGCTGCTGGAGACTCGAGGCCGGCGACTCATTTCCATGGGCTAATACCTTGGTGTTGAGGTTTTCTGTACAACATGGTTAAGGGTACAGATTTTGGAGCAAATTCCTGGGCTTAGGACTTCATTGTGCTCTTTACTATTTGTGTCCTTGGGCAAGTACTTGACCATCTGTGCCTCAGTTTCCTCATCTGTGCCTATAAGGTTAACAATAATAGGACTCTTATGAGGACCAAGCATTTGGAACAGGTCCCAGCACATGGTCAATATTGTCTGAGTCTTTGCACTGATTATTTTTCTTTTCTAATTTTGAGACTTGGAAAATCATAAACCTCACTGAACTTTTCTTTCTTTTTCTATAAGATGGGGCAGGGACAGCTCAGAGAGTTGCAGGGGTTAAGTGATGAGATGGATATGACAGCACTTTGTAAGGGTAAAGAGAACCACCTGACCGACGTATGTCTCCCAGCACTGGTCTTGTGGACTCTGAGGGTAGAGGCTAGTCCTGTTCGTCTTTATGAGAGGCATGGTGTAAGCTGAAATGCTGGTCTCTTCCAAGGCCCATGTGCTGTTTCTCCTGAGCCCCATTCCAGGCCGAGATGTGGACCATTTCTCTTCTTCAGGGGCTGTCCTGGTTGCAAAGAAGGTGGTAGAATCTATCCAATGACTTGTGTTATTTTTGGTAGCCATTTCCTAGGGAGAGAGAGAGGGAGGGAAGGAGGTGAGAAAGAAAAATGGCGGTCCACATATTTGTAAATGAGAATCCATCATGGACCCCAAGGGTGTCATTGCATTGCTTGGGAGTAATCATTCATCCTCTTTCTCTTTCTAGACCACCACTTGACTAGAGTTGGCCCCAGTAAGGGAACACAGTGGTGTAATGGATAGTATTTATTCATCCCTAGTAAGGGTCAGAAACTGTTTCAGGTAACACATGTTAACTCTACTTATTCTCAGAAGAGCTTTAGATAAGGATTATTACCCCATGTTCAGATGAGATTGAAACTCAGTGAGTTGAAGCCTAATGCTCAAGGTCACGCTGCTAGTAAGTGTCAGGTAAAGACCCAGGTCTGTGTAACCTCAAAGCCCCAATGCAGAAAAATGACTCTCTGTGGCTTCATCTGCCTATAAGCCTTGAAATTTGACGTTAGTGTGATATGCCTTGGGCAAACAACCCTAAAAGAGCACCCCCTCTCTTCCTCCCTTTCCTCCACCATTCAGGATATCCTAATAGGTGGGACAATTTGAACGTGCACACCAGGTTGGGTGTGATGCCTCATACCTGTAATCCCAGCACTTTGGGAGACCAAGGAAGTGGAATCACTTGAGTCCAGGAGTCTGAGACCAGCCTGAGCAACATGGTGAAACCCCATCTCTATAAAAAAATTAAAAAAAAAAAATAGCCAAATATGGTGGCATGCAGCTCTAGTCCCAGGTACTCTGGAGGCTGAGATGGGAGTATCACTTGAGCCCAGGGAGGTTGAGGCTGCAGTGAGCAGTGCTTGTGCCACTGCACTCCAGCCTGGGCAACAAAGTGAGACCCTGTCTCAAGAAAGAAAGAAAAAAAAAAAAGGTGGACATCAAAGATACCCTAGGCTGAGAGCAGATACTCCTGCTGGGCTGGGATAGTAAGTCCATTCTGAACTGTTCCCCATGAAATGATTATTCTGTCCTGACTTTCTAAGTGAGTCTCATGGCCTGCTGCTCTTCCTGTGATCATTTGTAATAGCTGTTGATAGCCTTTTCCTGATGCGATTCAAAGAAATGGGATAGTATGATATAAAGAGTCAAAAATTCTGGAGTTCTCATCCCAGCACCATCACTTACCAGCCATGCACTGTAGCCTGAATTTCTTTATCTGGGAAGCAAGGATAATTTTTCTCTCCTTACCTTGAGAAGACTCCAGCAAAGTCAAGTTTTGCACATGATTATGGAGTACAAGTACAATCAGTGATCCTGTCCATGATGATGACCCTGGTGTTGGGAGGAGGTAGCAGAGAGGGCAGAAGTGGGGCAGAAAACTCTCTGGAATGGACACTCACCTCAATGCTCATGCTGTTAACCTTGTCCAGGAGAGCAATGATCAGGCTGTAGAGATTTCCCAGATACAGCACAAGGACCCTGAAAGCCACAAGCCCACCTTGAGAGACAAGACCATGACACACAAGTCCACGGTTCTAGAGCCCCCATATGGTTCTGGAGACTGTCATAGATGTATTAAGGCAGTGGCTGCCACACTTGGTTTCCTTTAGAGTCACCTCGAGGGCATTTTTAAAAAGACAGAATTCCAGAATCCACCCTTAGTAGGTCTGGAAGGGGTCTGAAAATCATTTTACAGCCTTTCCAGGTGATTCGGCTATAGCCTATCCTTGGATCTGTACTTTACAAACACTAGTGTAGCAGAAAGTGTGAGTTTAGGAAGTGGGGCCCTAACATGTGGTTTATGAGTCATGCTTTCGAGTTTATGAATTGATTTCCCATGCATTATCTCACTTTATCCTCACAACAGCTCTGTAATAATCCCCACTTAAGGTACAAGTGTATGAAGCACAGAGGGAGCGAAGTCACCAGCTCAAGTTCACACAATTAAAAAGCAGCAGAATGCAATTTCAGGACCTCAGTGCTCCACTTCTGAAATGCAGGCTGGGCCCCTCAGAAGCACTGAAAAGCTGTGGGTACAGCTACACCCTGTCAGCCACTGGGAGTGAATGGAATCTGCCAGCAACAGTCTGGATCAGCCAATGATCAAAGACTTGATGTCAGCTTCCCCAGTGCTGGAAGGTTTTGAAAACACATCATGGAATTTCCAGGATGCAGCCTTGGGTCTTACTGGAAACCCGTCTGGGAAAATGAAGTGAGAAAGGAAATGACAGGTTTATACACACTTCAGCGAGACAACACTTAGCCCTTAGAGAAAAATGAAACCAACTGATAGAAGAATCATGAAACCAATTGAGAAAGTTGATGAGAAAGCATCTTTATCTTGAGGAAAAGACTCCAAGTTGAAACCATCTCCCCAGGCCTTCCACATCTCCTCAAGTATAGAGTTGACCACCCGTGTGCAGGCAGTGGGCAGAGAAACAGGAAAGTGGTGTCTCCAGGGGGTAGCATTGTAGCTCACATCGGCTCTCCCTCTGAATTGAGAAGGGATTCCCGTGGGCACAATGCACTTACAGTACTGAGTACAAGGCAAGTCCCTCAGTGTGTATTCAGTAAGTGGTGGCCAAAGGAAGGATTGAATGCATTTCCTCTCCTGCTGTCTCAGCATTACCATCACTCTATGCCTTGGATAGAAGCTAATACAGTCTGCTGGTGAGTTAATGGAACTGAAATAATATGTCTTATGTTTATTACCAGAATTAGCCCTAATTTGTCTGGGGGAAGTCTCTGATGCCTCTGTTTCTCTAGTTTTGAACATGAATAATGAGGTCAATTTATATAATAGCATTGCCTTTAGACCAAATGCAATAATGGAATTGATTCCACCCAATACTTGCTAGTGAGGAAGGAGCTTCTCTCTTGCAGGTCAAAAGACATGTTGGGTGGAGCAGAAAGAACAAGGAATAGGAGCCAGGGAGCTGAGAGGCTCATCCCAGATCTACCCTGGGCCATGAAGGTTTGACCAACTCCATGCTCTTCCTAGTCCTGTTTTCTCTCTTTGAAATGACTGTTGAATTTCAGGAGTTGGAAATTACGGCTTTCAAGCCAAACCATACCCTTGCCTATTTTTGTCAGTAAAGTTGTATTGGAACACGACCACACCTGTTCATCGCCTTATGGTCTGTGGCTGCTTTCATGCTAGAACCTTAGAGTTGAGTAGTGGTGATACAGACTTACCCACAAAACCACAAATATTTACTATCTAGTTCTTTTTGGGAGATGTTTGCCAATTCCTGAATGAGAGCAAATCTTCCCAAAGTGGTCTGTGGAAAATTAGTTCTATAGAATGTTATTAGGTGTTACAAAAGGAAACGGGGAGAAACCAGTGTAGACCAGGGTGAAGGTGGGAGCAGGTAAGAAGGGCTCTCACTGCCTCCCTCTGCCACATTCAGTTTAACAATGCCTCACCCAGCCCTACTACAGTAGCTGAATTTGTAGATGAAGAGACCATACTCCAGGGAGGACAGGCAGATTTTTCAGGAAAATACTGATAAAGCCAGTGCTCAAAGTGAGTGTGGCTGTTCCGACTCCCACAGAAGGTGTTCCAGGACGTTCCCTTGGGTGCACCAGTCTTCCCCAACCATCTGCTGTCACAGCCACTGACCGTCCTGGCAAAGCTTCCAGGCATATCCACGAGGAACTCTTTGAGTCTATACTTTGGGGGAACTGTTCACAAAGCATTGACTGTTCTTCTTGCATCTGGAAAAACAACATGCGTCCCTCTCACCACTCAGAGTTAAACCACGGAGAAAACAGAACAGTGAGGAAAACCAAACACACTGCCAGTCCTCTTCTTGGTTCCCTTTTGTTCATTTGTTTGTTTGTTTGTTTTGGAGTTTTGCTTTTGTTGCCCAGGCTGGAGTGCAGTGGCGTGATCTCAGCTCACCGCAACCTCTGCCTTCCGGGTTCAAGCGATTCTCTTGCCTCAGCCTCCTGAGTAGCTGGGATTACAGGCATGCGCCACCACGCCCAGCTATTTTTTTTTTTTTTTTTTTTTTTAGTAGAGACAGAGTTTCTCCATGTTGGTTAGGCTGGTCTTGAACTCCCGACCTCAGGTGATCCACGCGCCTTGGCCTCCCAAAGTGCTGGGATTACAGGCGTGAGCCACTGCACCCAACCCTTGGTTCCCTTTTGTGTCCTCTTTTTCTGCCTGTTCTTCCTTTCTTCCTTTCCCTTCTCCTCCTCCTCCCATCCTCTTCTTCTTCTTCATTCCTTTTCATCCATTTCTTCTACCCTTGTCATCCTGGTCCCCTCCTCCCTTCCTCCTTCTATTCTCCTGCCTCCTCCCCTATCCCTCCTCTTGGGTTATGCTTTTCTTGAGTTGCATCCATACGTAAAGTTCTGTGCTGAGTGTCTGAGAGAAAAGAAGCAAGCCCTGGTTCTTGAGGCACGTACATTCCCACTGTGAGTGGGCACATGGGTGAGCCACAGGTGGCATTTCTGGGCAGGACTGTTGTACCTTGCAAGCTGGAAGCGCAGCGTGGTCCTGGGGTGGTACATCTCTAAGGCAGCAATGAGGTCAAAGGCTGATGGTGCTATCATGGTGACGAGGGAGACCACCACACTGACCTGTTGAGAGAGCACATGCCAGAGCCAGGCATTCCCAGGACCCCTGATCAAGCCTCACCATGTACATTTGATCTCTTTCCCTAATATTGGATCAGTGGGTATCCACAGGGTCCTTGGATCCTCCATGGAAAATCTCCCCAAATCTCTGCTAATTAGCTTTTTACAAAAGGTGGTCACCACTTTATCATGGCCTTTTTTTTTTTTTTTTTTTTTGAACTCTCCTTAAATGTTCTGAGGACACTCATACATGCCATTTGGGATTCACTAGGCCAGATGCGGTGGCTCACACCTGTAATCCCAACACTTTGGGAGACTTGTGAGGCTGCAGGAGAATTGCTTGAGGCCAGGCATTGAAGACCAGCCTGGGCAACACAGCAGGATTCCATTTCTACCAAAAAAAAAAAAAACAAAAAAAAAAAAATCTGGCACATGCCTATGGTCCCAACTCACTGGGAGGCTGAAGCAGGAGAATTGCTTGAGGCTAGGCATTCAAGATTAGCCTGGGCAACACAGCAAGACCCCATCTTTACCAATAAAAAAAAAGGAGGGGCAAATGCCTATGGTCCCAGCTTGTTGGGAAACTGTGGCAGAAGAATTTCTTGAGCCCAGAAGTTCGAGGCTGCTGTGAGCTGTGATTGGACCACTGCACTCCAGCCTGGGCAACAGAGTGAAACCTTGACTCAAAAAGCAAAAAGGATTCACTAACATTTCTGCCACAATTTCCCCAATTACCATCTCACAGTATTTATACTTCCCTGACCTTGGATGGAAGACGGAAATAACTGCAACTATTACCAATAGAAAAGGAAAGCCTGAGAGGTAATGTAATATTCTTTCTGTACATGGAAGATTAATTATCTAGAGAATTATGCCCGGCTTTTGTTTCTCTGTACTTACAGCAGAAGAAAGAGGAGTTTTAGCTGGTACAGATGTTTGAGATAAAATAAGAAATAATTTCTGAATATATCTTTAAAAAATTATTCATATTTCTATCTGTAAACATACAAGTACACAGTAATTCAATTGGCATAAAATAGAGGCATGGGAAAAGGTTACCTAGGGTAGAGTAGACTCAGATTTTGATAAATTACTGTACATTGATAAATATGCACATGGTAAATTGATGACCATCTTACACACCTTTCTTTTTAAATCCCAGCAGGGGGTAATAATTTTCATAGAAATGATCTGAGAGGTGGTTTTTGTGCTATTTCTGCCTTTCAAATCTGTACAGATAAATTGGGCCAACTTTTCAGGACAATGGTCTTAAAATGAATATTTAGAATTCCAAAATTATTCATAACCATTCACTTGGTGATTTTCTATTTATGAGAATATTCACACAATGGAGGTGGCGGGAAGATGATTGTTTAAAAAATAAACCATTTGTGTAGAGCTGGTTCTGGAAGCATTATTTGTCGTTTAGATATTCAGAAACTACCTAAATATTCACAAATGGCACCTGGTGAACTTTAATCCATGCTATGGAATATGTGCAGTTGTTAATTCCAATCTGCAGGTAGAATCAATCTGTGGAACAGGGATGTGAAGAAACAGATGTGCAAAAGGCAAAACACAGTCGGTGGGGCTCAAGGTAGAGAACAGGGTGAATGCTCGAAGGCGTTTTTGAATCAAACTCTTTCCCAAAGGAGATGAATAAAATTGCCCTTCTGGCTCAAAGTCCTTCTAGTCTGTGCTCTAGGATAAGAGGACTAAAGTTTTTTCCTAGAGGTATTCCCACCTAACCCACATAAGGAACAAAGAGGCAGGCTACTTTTCTGTCTCTCTCTCTCGTGTTTTCATTTTTGTTTTTGTTTTTTTGAGACGGTCTCACTCTGTTGCCCACACTGGAATGCAGTGGCATGATCTTGGCTCACTGCAGCTTCTGTCGCCTGGGTTCAAGAGAGTCTCCTGTCTCAGCCTCCCAAGTAGCTGGGACTACAGGTGTGCACCACCACACCCAGCTGATTTTTGTATTTTTAGTAGAGACAGGGTTTCACCATGTTGGCCAGGCTGGGCTCGAACTCCTGACCTCAAGTGATCCACCTGCCTCCCAAAGTGCTGGGATTACAGGCATGAGCGACCGTGCCTGGCTATGTCTCTTTTCTAGGGTGCTGTGGGTAATGGCAGTTGGTACCTCATTCTTTTCCCAAAGTGTCAGCTCCTTCTTCGACTGCTCCAGCTTCTGGGACCGGTCCACCACAAAGTAGATGAGATAAATGCTTCCAGCCAATGAGAGAAGCACCAGGATGTTGGCAATAATCCTCAGGCAGATGGTCACTGCCCTGGGGAGAGAAGCAGGCATGAGGACAGCACACAGGGTCCTGCTCACAGCACCGCGATGCAAAGACAACACTACTTGGGGACTGGAACACATCCACTGCCAAGAGGATTCTCTGCCCTGAAGCATCAGTGCTCTTCTAGCCCACCTCACCCCATACCCTAGAATTCTTCATTTCCTAAGAGATCAACAACCAGTCATAAATTCAACCAGCCTGCATCAGTGGGGCTTGAAACAAACAGATGAACAAATAAACGCCTCTGGTTTTAGAGACAGAGTTATTTGGGTTTCAGTTCTAGCTTTGCTACTTAAAATTGGAGTCTTGTGGTATGCACATTAAAGATATAGGAATTCAAGTAAATGTGTTCAGCAGAGGGAGGGAGGAAGGAAGGCAGGGAAGAAGAGAGGAAGGGAGGACACATGATTCTGCCTGTCATCCCATATAATGAATATGACATTGTACAGTCATGTGCTGCACAATGGCAATTTGGTCAATGACGGAATGCTATACGACGGTGTTCCATAAGATTATAATGGAGCTGAAAAACTCCTATGGCCTACGACGTTGTAGCACAATGCATTGCCCTCACATGTTTGTAGTGATGCTGGTGTAAACAAGCCTACTGCACTACCAGTTGTATAAAAGTATAGTACATGCAAGTATGTACAATACATATTTGATAATGATATTAAATGGCTGTTACTGGCTTAGGTATTTACTATACTTTTTAAAATCATTATTTTAGGGTATACCTCTACTTATTTAAAACAAAATGTTAACTGTAAAACAGCCTCAGGCAGGTCCTTCAGGAGGCATCCAGGGTAAGGCACTGTTACCATAAGAGATGACACCTCCGTGTGTGTTATTGCCCCTGAAGACCTTCCAGTGGGACAAGATGTGGAGGTGGAAGGCGGTGATATTGATTATCCTGACCCTGTGCAGGCCTAGGCTAATGTGTGTGTTAGTCTTTTGTTTTTTGTTTGTTTTTTGTTTTGTTTTGTTTTGTTTTGAGACGGCATTTTGCTCTTGTTGCCCAGGCTGGAGTGCGATGGTGCAATCTCGGCTCACTGCAACCTCTGCCTCCTGGGTTCAAGCGATACAGTCTCCTGAGTAGCTGGGATTACAGGCGCTTGCCACCACGCCTGGCTAATTTTTGTATTTTTAGTAGAGACGGGATTTTCCCATGTTGGTTAGGCTTGTCTCAAAACTCCTGACCTCAGGTGATCTGCCCACCTCGGCCTCCCAAAGTGCTGGGATTACAGGTGCACACCACCATGTCCGGCCTGGTCTTAGTTTTTAACAAAAAAGTGTAAAAAGTAAAAAAAAAAAAAAAAAAAATCAAAATAAGACAAAGCTTGTAGAATAAGGATACAAAGAAAAATGTTTTTTGTACAGCTGTCCCTTGTGTTTGTGTTTTAAGTATTACAAAAGAGTCAGTTTTTTAAAATTTAAGAGTTCATAAACAAGTGACAGTAAACTAAGATTAATTTACTATTAAAGAAAGAAACTTTAAGAAATAAATTTAGTGTAGCCTAAATATAGAGTGTTTATAAAGTCTACACTAGTATGCAATTGTGCCCTGGGCCTTCACATTCACTCATCACTCATTCACTGACTCACTCAGAGCAACTTCCAGTCCTGCAAGCTAATTCATGGTGAGTGCCCTATACAGGTGTACCATTTTTAAATCTTTTATACCACATTTTATTGTACCTTTCTATGTCTAGATATGTTTACATACACGAATACCATTGTGTTACAATTGCCTACAGTATTTAGTACAAGTGGCATGCTGTTCAGGTTTGCAGCCTAGGAGTAATTGGCTATACTATATAGCCTAGGTGTGTAGTAGGCTATACCATCTAGGTTTGTGTAAGTACATTTTATGATGTTCACACAAGGACAACATTGTGTTAAGACACGTTTCTTGGAATGCAATCCCATCACTATGCAACATCTGACTGTATTCCTTTGGTAGTTTCTTAATTGTCTTTTCCCTTTAGAAGAAAGCTCTAAGCTTTTTAGCCTTTTTCAATGCTGTTATCTTCAGCTCTTAAAACAGGCTTAGCATATATGGATGCTTCATAAATACTTGCTAGATGAATAAGTAAATAAAGGAGCAACTAGTGGGAGACACGGGGCTCATCTCTTTCCTAATTTGGTCTCACTTCTCATATGCCTCTGACAGTGAGGGCGGATGTGTGAATCAGTAATGATTCTAATACTTACATACATGTTTCTGGTTTTAACTGAAACACATCCATTTTTTTTCTAACACTGGAGAACAACTCCCTGTTTGACTTCGATTGGCCTATTTTGAAGGTACCTTCTTCTGCCAACTTTGGAGCTTGTCTGAGCCTGGCTAAGGCCTGCAATCCCAGGCCTTTTTGTAGGTAGTTTATGTGGAAAGTGATCCCAGAAACCAGGAGTGCAGGTCCTGGAGTGGAGCAGGAGAGAGGGGCCATCAGTACAAGGATACGCAGTGGGGCTGGCAGCAGCTAGAGGAAAATGCAGGGCCTTCTGAGGGACTTATGAAATGCCGGACAGAACTGTCTGCCCAGTGCGAAATAGGAAAGCATTTATTCTATTCCCAGCGGTCCAGGGGAGCTCCATGAGCATTCACTCCCAGCATTGCACCCAGCCTCTTGGTTGCATGTGCATGTGTGTTGACTGGGATCTTGTGGATGCCCTACACAGCAGCCTCAGAAGATCCCTGGGGCACCAAACAGTGGGTACCAGCAAGGGGTACATGCATGCAGCTGGTGGTAGCCTGCACAGTCCTGCCCAGTAGCAAGGGCTGGAGAAAGGTATGGCCAAGAGGATTTGAAGGGGCACCCAAGGTATACCATCTTCTCCATGAAATTTCTACCCACTGGGGACCTTGGGCGGGTCATAATACCTCACTCTACATGTGTTTTGGCCCTTGATTTGCACAGTAAGGAAACATTCCCAAATGAGACGATAAATGTCACTTTGCTTGGTAAAAATGACAACATGGCACAGTACGTTATTATTATTACCAACTCTGGTGGAGGAGAACTACAGAGGGAGAATCAATGGCAGAATCCCATACTTTTATTTTGTAGGTGAGGAACTTCCAGTTCATGAAGTTCAGAAGCATTTCCCAGGTCATCGACATCAATGACAAAGAGAGGACTAGAATCCATGTCTTCTGACTCCCTATGGACAGCCCTTTTCGACTCCTCTCCCACTCCCTAAGCTCCGTCATTATTCCAGAGGCTGGGTGTGTTTCCTTAATTCCCCATATCCTTTTCTACAAGTCCTCTGAAAGGGCTTTCGGCACTGTAGAAAGTAATCATGAGGGCTAAATAACCAGTAAGGATGTGGGATGAACAGATCTACCTGTCTCCATGAAGTCAGGGCCATTGCCCTTCCCTGGGAATGGCTTTCCCTTTCGTTAGTTCTCTGGTTGAAGGGTTTCACCCTCACCAGCATAGCTCTCAAGATCTCGAGAAGAATCTTGAACCTAGGAAATCATCTTGAAAGGCTTGTGAACATCAACTGGATAATATTTGTGTCTTATGACTTGTTTCTAAATAAAGCTAGTCTTAACAGCATAAGTTGGTGCTCAAAGTACCTCTTTTATTATCTAAGTAAAAGAGTAAGAAATAAGAAACTGGTCAATTTCAGACCCTCTCACCCTTATTACAGGATCTACGGAAGGAGGAAGTCATCCTAAATATTGCTAAGGAAAAAATCATTCAGTTCCCTCAGATCACATTATGAGAAAGGAAGAAAGAAGAGCTGCCTGACAATTATCAAAATAAGATATAGATGATCTGGTAGTTTTTGTACCAAACTAAAAACAAAACTTATCAATGAATTCAACATGGGGAGTAATAATACCTACAGGTTTTTGCTTTTCTTTTTCTCCTGTTCTTCCAGTATAGCTTCCTTTAAGAAAAATACATACAGCAATAAAAGCTTAGCATCATCATTAATTATAAATCATTAGAAATAATTTACCCAGTAATTTAGCTCATACCTTCATTGTCTAGGACTTTATTCTGAAGGATTCAATTGATGTAAATGAATTAGATATCAATGATCTAATAATCAATTGAAAAAAGATATTGGCGGTTGGGAAGAGGGATTGGGTGATAGTATGGCTGTAATAATTTAAATTAAGTAATTTTTTTTCTCAAAATAGTGCACCATTTAGCTGTCTGTATAGTTCAATAGAGCTAAGTCTCTGAATATTTTTGATTGCATTATTTTCTAAGTTAGAAGTAAAAGTCTATATCCCTCACATATATGTATTCATTCATTTTCAGGTTATATACATGCAACATGGTAATAATCCATTATGTAAATTATCCAAAATATACAAACTGAAATTTTAAAAGGATAAAACAGAAAAATTTAAAAAGAAAGAAGTTTCAAAATGTTTCTCCCTCCCTTCCTTGAGTCATTTGGTACATTTCCTGGAGCATGTTCGCCTCACTTTGGAAACAGCTGCCCTGGACAATGAACATCAATGGGAAAAGGATGGTTCTGGCTTCCAGCTGAGGACTGGCGACTGGCTCTGACCCCGGGCTGCCCACCCCCGCAGGCTGCACAGGCCCACTCACTCACCCTGATGCTGTTCACGATGGCAGCTGTTTTGCTCTCTGCAGCCTCTGGGTTTCCAATGAGGTAATCCCAGGCACAGAACACCCGCCAGCAGAAGGTGTAGTTTTCGTTGGAAGCACTGGCAAGGCTCATGCGGGAGTTCTTAGCCATCCTGCCAAAGAGGAGCACAAACAGGTTATAGGAGTCTCAGGAATAGGGGGCTGGAGCTAGCACCCACGGAGCCTTTGTGTGAATTAGAATAGGCTGCTCCCCACTGGGTGGACGCAGCTCCTCAGGTCACGGCTTGGACAGCACAGCACCGACTGGATTTCAGCCTGTGCTTGTGACCTCAGCAACAGTTTGGAACAGCGTGAAAACTGTGATGGCCCATTATTGTATGAGTTCATTTGACAAGGAGTCCCCCCACTGTGGTACCCAGCAGGTCACTGCAGGTGTGTGTGCCCCAGGAGCCAGCTTTTCTCATCTCTGTGCAGCTGTGATTGTGAAATAAAAATATTTCCTTTGAATCAGTCTTCTTGGAGCTCCTTCCCATGGGAACTCTACCCCATGGGACTCCACATAACATGCTGGGTCCCTCTTTCACACATTTCTTTAGATATTTGAAGACAGGAGTCATGAACCCTCCTTAGGTGAAACTCTCCCTACTTTTCAGAGCCTTTCTCCTGCAATAAGCTCTCCTTTCCATCCATATTTCTTGCTTCCAAGTTTGCTCTAATCTGTCTCTTAGACTGTATGTCTAGTAAAGGGCCGAGTCTTCGACGTGGGTCCTGGAAGCCACCAGGAGCTAACCTGGAAAGCTTCAGGGGAACTGAAGGCCCCCAGGTCATTATGCACATCCTCAAGTATTGTTTATTTGCTTATTGTCTTTTTTACCCCAAACCGCTTCTATCTGCATTTTGCTAACATTCCACAAGTGGGTAGGGCGATGAACGGTGGTTACACAATCAAGCAGAAGCAGCAGGTGAGCCAGCGTGGGTGGGGCCAGCTTTTCCTGGGGTTTGGAGCCTCCTTGTCAGTCTGCATTTCTCTAGCTCCCACACGGAAGCTTGGAATGGTAAGCCAGAAGGGAACCTGGTGATGTTCTGAGCCAACGTGCCCATTTTACAGATGAGGCCCAGGGAAGGAAGGTGAGCTCCTGCAGGTCTCACAGTGAGGGTGGTGCAGGGCTCCTAATCCCACCAGATTGTTTCTTTTGCATTTTGCCTCCTCCAGTGATGACATAGAGGTGCCAACTGCATCACAGCACACACAAGCCTGGCCTTTGCAAAATTTGTAGCTAGATCACAGGCAAACAAACATACAACCAAAGGAGGACGTTTTGCTTTCTGCAACCTCTGGCCACCTAGATCATATTGCTTATGTCCCTATTAGTGCAGCTACTGCATTGTCTAAAATTACATGAACTGGTAAATCTATATGATTCTTGTATTTCCAGGCCTAATATAGGACCTAGTACAAAGCAGTAAGTGTTCAATAAGTACTTGTTAAAATGAACATGCCTCTTTTAGCTTTGGTCTTCTCATCTGTAAAATGGATACAGCTATGTCTTAATTTTACAGGGCTATTGACAAGATTAGATAACATTACACATATCATAATGCTTGATATGTATTTTGAGAAATCGAGCAGTCATACTTTTTTAAAAGAATGATGAAGCTGTAAGCAAACACTGCCATCCCCACTAGGAAATATGCCAAGGGCAGCCGGTAGCCAGCTCTCCCGATCTTCCTCTCCCTGCCATAGTATCCGTAGAAGAGGACTGAGTACTGGAGGTAGCCCTGCAAAGAAAACACTCAGTGTCATTTCTGGTTCTCATTCCCAGGTCTCAGAACTGTGGCCCATCCACCCCTTCCCTCAAGACAAAAGTGTGGCCAAGCATCAACCTTACCCCCAGAGACCAGACGGTGTCCAGGTCTTGGGCAGATGAAACCTGCTCCTTGGGGATGGTCTTTCTGGCCGTGCTTCCAAAGGGCTGGCCTGCAATCAGCTGGTGAGAGAGGAAGGCATGTTATGTGGTCCTCTGGGTGGGAGGGGACCAGGAGAAAATGAGAGATTGATCTCCATGTGCTTGTGAAAATGCCACACATAAGAGATCTCCAGGGGGTGGATTTCTGCTTGATTTTCATGAATGAAAAATTAATCTTGGGTGGCCAGATTTTCTTTTCGCCTGACTAGAGCTCACCTGGGTGTGCTCTCTCTCAGCTAGACATGGTTTCTACAGGTGGATTATTAAGGCCCCTGTTGGGAAATGGCCCATTTACTTTTTGAGGATAACGTTTAGTTGAAAATGGATTTTATTTCTTTAATTTATATAAATGTAAGAGGCACAAGTGTGGTTTTGTTACATGGATATATCGTGCTATATCGTCTGGGGTTTAGTGTACCCATAACCTGAATAATGTACATGGTCTGGATATTATTTCAACTTTGGACTGGCAAACTGGCTGGTTGGCCAAGTCCAGCCTGTGGCCTTTTTGTATGGCCCAAGAGCTAAGAATAGTTTTGCATTTTTAAGTGGTTGGGGAAAAAAAATCAAAAGAATTTATATAAAATTCAAATTTCAGTATTCATAAATCAAATTGTATTGAAACACAGCCACATCCACTGGTTGATATACTGTCTGCGGGTGCTTTTGTGCTACACGGCAGATTTGAGTCATTGTGACGGACACCAAATAGCCCACGAAGCCTAAAGTATTTATTCTGTGGCCCTTTACAGAAAAAGTTTGCCAAGCCCTGCTTTACCCAAACACATATATGTTCCTCCCCACAATGACAACCAGAGGAGCCATTTTATGTGACTGCTGTAACGTCTCCTCTTTTTAACGAGTGGTACTTTTTTCTCTCCTGAAACACCTTACCTCTGGAATGACAATAAAAGCACCTGTCATAATGGTGAGCACAATATTAATTCCAAATAACCATCTCAAGAATATGAAATAGGAGGCAACGCCAGATCCAAAATGACCTAAAGACAGACAAGATAATGAGAACGGTTTAAGTAAAATCCTCATAGTGCAAGAAATCCTACAAAAAGAACACCATAACTTTTCTTACATCCACAGGAGATAGAGTAAGAATGCCATTATTGTACCAATCGGGGTGTTCCTTCCCGAGTGTTAACTTAGACAGATCAAGATGCCCCTGAATATCTATCAGTTTTACAGTCAGGAAAAATCTCTAGTTTGCCTAAAATGCTATTCGATAGTCACTTCCCTAATGACATATTCATCTAAAATGGTCTTATCAAATTTCTAATATTTCATGTATGTTAACAAGTATCGGCATCTTTTAAGAATTTGGCATATTTCTTATCTATTTTGCATCATTTTGAGAATTTCAAGGATTTTGCTAAGGGTTTTTTTGCCTTAATTTCAAGATAAAACACAATTTGCTAGATGCTCACAATAGTGGACAGTGGGTGAAGAGTACAAAGGAACTCTCTTTCCAACTTTTCTATACATCTAAACTTATTCTAAAATAAAAAGCATAGTAAAAACAAATTTATATCTATTGAGAAAATCCAGGAGCATAGAATAACTTAGATGAGGACGTAGGCAACAATTCCACAACATTCTGGAGTAGGTAGTTTCATGTCATTAAAAAAGAAAAACTCTTAAATTTGTATTTCAAATCTAGTTTATGTTTGTCATAATGAGTAGCAAAACACAAAACATCACAAGGACAAGAAAAATTACCTATTCTGTGATCACTAAATTAAAATCACTATTAGAATTACTTTCTATTAAACTTTTAGTGTAACCTTCCACAATTATCCTATACAAATAGTGTTTTTGTATAAGATTGGCATTTCTCTCCAGCATACATCTTCAATTATCAATATATTACAAGCATTTTCTCTTGCCAAAAATACTATTCTATAACATAAATTTTATTGTTCCATTAAGTGAATTTTCCATAACTGATTTAAACTATTCCCCACGACTTGACATTTAGGACATTTCCAACTGTTCACCAGGGTGAATAGTTCTATAATAAATAATTTCTAAGATAAGGTTTCCTAGAAGCAGAGCTTGAGAAAGGGATTTGGCTACAGGTGATTTGTTGAGGAAGCACTCTCCATAGAGAAGATGTGAAGGAGTCAGGGAAGGTCAGGGGAAAGAGCCAGGGAAGGGCACCATCTTAGCTGCAGCCTAGCTGAGTCTATCCCATCAGGAGCTCTGCAGCATGAATTGCACCACTGAGTTGGTCCCACTGGGAGCAAGAGATCAGACTTGAATCCTGCTCTGTTAATGGTCACTGCCTCTAAACTCCAGCTGGTGAGTGTGGGATTGGTGTGATAGGAGGTAGTCCTGGGACAATTCCCTGAAGGGGAGCAGCTGAGTGGCAAGCAGTCCATACTCAGCAGCAGAGGAAAGGGTAGACCAGCCAAGGAAAGGCAACCTGGGTACAGCACTAATGGCAGCGGCTGCAGCCTTGTCTGTTTAGTTTATTATGGTTTTCTCTGTTTTTGTTTTTTTTATTTTGTTTTGTTTTTAGGAAATGGAAGCATATTACCAAAGTATGTAACATTTTGAAGACTTTTGGTACATATTAAAACTTTTTAAAAAAGAAATACTGTCCTAATTTACATTTCTGCCAGCATATCAAATTGTTTGATCCATTTAAATATTCAACATGTTTTTCCCAATTTGTCATCTAACTTTTAGCTTTATTTTTTATGTATGTACATTTTACTTTTTTAGATAATTAAATATAACAGTACTTTTTCCTCCTTCACTTTTATGATTAGATATGTCTCCATTCTGCAATCATAACATCTATTGTCTATTCAAATGTGTAATGGAATTTTAAGTGAAGGAATTAAACTTACTCTTTGAAACAATTGAATCGATTGTTCCAGTGATATTTATGCAGTAATTCAGACTGACTTCAATAATTATTGCATGCTAAAATTCTAAAAGTCTAAGTGTATTCCTATCTGTTCCTGAACTTTTTGCTTACTCCTTTGATTTGCCAGTCAATTCCCACACTATTCTATACTGCTTCAGCTGTTGTAGCTTTATGATATATTTTAATATCTTGATCTTACAACTTCATTTGCATTCTTCTTTATATTTTTTAAATTAATCTCTTGGATATTTTTCTTCCTATAAGTTTTATGATCATTTTGTTAAATACTTAGAAACAATACATTGAGATTTTTATTTGATTGCATCAAACTTGTAAATTAATTTTGGGAAAATTAACATTTTCCAAATATTAAATCTTTGTATGCGTTTTAACAAGACTTTTATATCCTGTGGTATAATTTTACAGTTTCCTTTACTTTGGACTTATTGTTAAATCTATTCCAGATACTGTGTGTGTCAGTGTGATCATGGACATGATTTATTTATTGGCGCATGTTTTCTAAATGGGCACAATTATCTCTATGAAAATGCAGATTTTTGTATTTGTGTTTTGCAGTTCCCTGGGCTACCCTCTTATTCATCCTCATAGGTTTTCTCTTGATCCTTTCGGGGTTTGCATTTTATCTGACTGAAGGAATGAACTGGGAGAGAACAACAGAGCCACAGCGGAATGTGGAAAGGCCTGCGTCGAGACTGTTCCCATCCTGGCAGGTGGTGGGGACAGGTATCTTGTCTTCTGGGTCTGTTGTCCCATGTGGAGCCCAGTGACCCTGCTATAAGAGTGCCCTCAGCTGCACAGCATAAGGACCAGAACACAGCAGACTCTCCTTAGGCTGTGATTGGCCACTAGCATTGCATTCCTGCTCCACTCTCCAAGTGTAAATACTTACTCTCGATTTTCTTTATCCTCATTTCCCAGGGAATGAAGATGACCACAAAGTTACAGGCGAGACGAGCAAATTTCCGCCAGAGCTAGACAAGAGGGGTCAGGATTAGATGTCACATTCATGAAGATGGCAATGATTGTGCAGTACTAAATGTAGTATACCAGACACTCCCTCTGGTAATCCCTTTAATTATGGATTATGGCTTCATAGGCCTTTAAGCTGCACTAGAACCAAAGTAGCTCCCTTCTCTGTGCTCCTAACCAGGTGAATGGACACTGGCTTTGGATAAATAATGCAAGCTGCGGCCCCATAGAATACGCACCTCAATATAGACACCACCCAGTCCGTGGTATCTGTATTGAGGTGCGTATTCTATAGGGTTGCAGTTTGCATTAGCCATCCCATTCCTGACGCGGGGTATCTCTTGCTCTTTGAGAAAAGAAAAAGTTTAACTTTTGGCAATTACATCTTAAAACCACAACACACAGTAGAAATTACTTGAGGAATGATATATGAATAAATCCGCTTGATCTTGCCATAAACCTAAGGGGGTTCTGAGAATGTGCCCCAGGAATCTGGATGCCTAACAAACTCCCCAGGTGATTACAAGCACATCCTTGTTTAAGGACCAAGAGTCTAGAGCCTACCCTGAAAATGAGCCCCACTCTAATGTGTGACTCACCTCCTGCTACAGCCTCTTTCCTGGATAGAGCTGTCGGGTATAAGGTCTAAAAATTTGTCTTGTAGTTTTGGCCGGGTGCGGTGGCTCACACCTGTAATCCTAACACTTTGGGAGGCCGAGGTGGGCAGATCATGACATCAGGAGTTCGAGACCAGCCTGGCCAATATGGTGAAACCCAGTCTCTACTAAAAATACAAAAATTAGTCGGGCGTGGTGCCATGTGCCTGTAGACCTAGCTACTCAGGAGACTGAGGCAGAAGAATTGCTTGAACCCAGGAGGCGGAGGTTGCAGTGAGCTGAGATCGTGCCACTGCACTGCAGCCTGGGTGACAGAGTGAGACTGTCTCAAAAAAAAAGAAAAAAAAAAAAGATGTCTTATGTTTTTAAGATGCAGTTGCCAAAAGTTTAAAAAACATTTCTTAAAGGGGAATAAAACAAGACATGCCCTGACACTAGTTCTGCTTCCAACAAAGTTGGCAGGTTGTGCATTTTAACACACACACAATCTGGGTTTGTGCTGGAAGTAAATGATATCATTGCAGAAAGAGGGATTACAAATGTAATTATGACATTCTGAGCTATAAGACTGCACATGGTCCCGGTACAGACACGTATGATAATGTCATTCTGGACATGTCTGCTGAGGCCAGAATGGCTGCTTGTAAATGAAAATCTGAATTTTATCAGAAGTTTATCAGAAGTTGTTCATCTTCTGTTCATGATTTGAGAGCCAACTCAAATACAGTCACTCCCATGAACACAAAATCTCTGTAGCCAGAAAAGAAATTCTCATATTTGTAAACTCCCCTAGCAATAATTTTTTCTCTCTCTCATAATGTTTATCATATCCTACCTTACGTTACCTTAATTTTGTTCACCTGGCTTGTCTCCTAGAGCCTAGAGAGGGAGATGGAGGCTTTCTGATCATTTATTACCCCAGTATCCAGAGGAAGGGGTGCTCCATCATCCTTTGGCAAGGGTTTGGTGTTGGAAAGCATTTGAGTCTCTGGCTCATTTTAAATCCCTGAAGACTAAGAAGCACGGGGCGGAAAGCCAGAGACCTGAGTTCTAGCTGTAGTTTCACATCTATCTTACTATGTGTCCCTGGGGAAGTTATTTTCTTTCCTTGGGTTCCATTTCTCCATCTGTATAAGAAGTCAGATTCAATTAGTGGCATTCAGAATGCTCTTTAAATTTAAAGTTGTATGAGAATTTTCATACATGTAACAGGCTAAGGTAGGGCAGCTTTTGTAGGTGGGGGTAAAAAATCTCCCCCATCACCCCACCAGTAGTGCTTGAGGAACCAGGGTCCTCGAACTCAGGTTAGAGAGCACTGGATTGAATGGCCCAAGATGCTCATTCTGGGAATAAGAGTCTATGCAAGTTGGCCCAAAGGAACTTCTTAAAGGAAAATGTGATTGAAAAAGGTGATTTGTTGATAACATGTTCAGTAAGGCATGGGGGAAATAGTTTCATGCTTCTCTGATGATTTATACCAAATCTCCATGGCAAAAGCCTTGAAACAGGAATAATTCAAAATTTAAGAACAAAGCAAAATCAAAACAAAGAAAACTAAACTTGGAAGAATAGATCCTAATTGTGGGTTTGGGTTATTGAACTTTGCTAGCTAAGAAAAAGTTCTGTCTTTGGAAAGACGTACATGTCCACCCAGAAGATATGTAACAACATATGTGATAGTTCATGAAAAGTATATTTGTTCATAGTGTGTGTTAAGCACCTAGATTGTGTTGACTTATCAACATGTCAACATGAACTGTCATACATGTTGTTAGATATGTGGTACATGCATGTATCATACATACATACATATATATTTATACATGTATCATTATACATGTATGTACCATACAGATCTAACAATATGTATGACAGTTCACGAAAAGTATATTTATTCGTAGTACGTATTAAGCACCTGGGTTGTGTTTTCCTGTGACTGCAGATAGTGAGCATGACATGCAAGATGTCAGCTGGTATGGAGTTTGCATTCAGGTAGAAACAAGGCAGCCACAAGCAAATCCATGCCACAGTGAGACACGGTCTATTAGGACTGGGGGAGAAGCTTTCAACAATCAGGGAAGGTCTAGCTGAGGAGGTCATACTTGAGCTGAGACTTGAATGAAAAGGAAAATTAAAAGTAAATGGGAAGAGTAGCTTTATAAAAGGGGAGAACAGCCAGTACAAGCTGTGGGTTAGCATGAGCTGAGCGTTTTACAGAAGAGGATGGAGGAGAGAGGAGCAAGATAAAAGTTTGGATTACCTTACTCAATGTAAAAACTCTGCTTCTAATAATTCAGCCCATTATCAAGTTATACCTTTAATTCATACTGAGTTTACTATTGCTAAAAGTCCCAATAGCTTTTCATTGTTATTTATATTATAGGTCATTTGAATTCATGTGAAATACTTTATTTCCTGTAGCATTTCAGCTTATTTAGAGAAAACAAAAGAGCTTGTTAGTTCATATGTCTATAAAAAGATAATTTATTTCATAAACTCCATCATAGTATGGCAGGAATAAGGAGTCATGGGTGATTTGGTCATAAAAACAGATTCAAATTTTAAAGAAGATTTTTGTGAAGAGTAAAAAGAAAGAATGACAAGATGTGTCCTTAGGGATTCTTTGATATTTTATATTTTTTCAAACATGTAAAATTTATGACCAGCTTTTATTTAAGCTATATTAAGAATATTTTTGTTTAAGAGAATCTAAAAAGAGTATATCTGTCAGTTATTGTCTCTTGAGATAACAAACAAAAAATACAATAATCAACATTGGTGCAGGTATTATGAGACTAATAATGGCAATATAAATCATCAAGGCTTTTGGAAAATAACCTTTAAATATTTATCAAAAGCCAAAAAATGGACCACAGTCTTTTCTATAGTGATTGCAATTCTGGCATTCACCCTAAGAAAAAAATTCAAAAAGACAGAGAAATCTATATGTGCAAAGATGTTCTTCGTAGGGCTATTAATAATAATGAAAAATTAGAAGCATTTTAAATATCCACCAGCAGTCAAATGACTAATTAAATTAATATGCATTTATCTGATGGAATACCACACAGTCATCGAAAACCATTAAATATAAAAACTATATAGCAACATGGAAAAAAATTACATAATGGTGTTATGTGAAAAAAGAAGCAAAATGTATATACACTACAATTACTATGGTGTGAAAATAATATATTTATGCAATGACTGATGTGAAATTTCTAAAACGATATTATATTGGGGAGTAGAGGGTATAGAAGGAGAAGTTATTTTTCTTTGTTTTCTACAGATTTATGAAATGACTTTATAAACAGATAATTTTAATGTATACTTTTCCTTTAAGTAACTGAATGGGAAAAAGAACAAACAAAAACCTTAACATTGTATTATAAAATGAGCATTGCCATATACCTGCAACTTTCTCATTGTAAGAAATACAGCTGTATACAGGGACACAGTGAATCAAACCTACGAATATGGGTGGGATTAACTCAGGAAAGGTGCTAGATCACTTTTGCTATCCTTTCCCCTGATGAATTAGGCTTACCCAGTTTCACACAATTGGGAAGGGAAGGCATCTAGGACTAAAATTCAAGTCTTGGGAAATTCATACTTTTCAATTCTATTATTCTGATCTACAGCTGTGTTATAGACTGGCACTCACAACCTGTGTATCATGGCAAGTGTGATGGCAAACACAACTTCTTGGCTCTGGAGACCACAGTGTTCACGTGTGTCCGTGTCTGTGTGTGTGCTTTTTTTCTTTTTTTTTTGGAGACGGAGTCTCGCTCTGTTGCCCAGGTTGGAGTGCAGTGGCACGATCTAGGCTCACTGCAAGCTCCGCCTCCTGGGTTCACGCCATTCTTCTGCCTCAGCCTGCCACCACACCCAGCTAATTTTTGTGATTTTAGTAGAGACAGGGTTTCACTGTGTTAGCCAGGATGGTCTCAATCTCCTGACCTTGTGATCCACCTCCCTTGGCCTCCCAAAGTGCTGGGATTACAGGTGTGAGCCACTGCGCCCAGCTACATGTGTGTTCTTTACCTCTGCACCTGCTGCTTGGTAGCCTCGGGTCCTGGTCAGCCTCCCTTCGAACTTCAGTACAATGTCCTTCGCTCGTCTAAGAGAAGAAAAACATGATGGTGAACACAATTTTATCATACTTACAATTTCTGCAAAATGTGTAAAAATGCAACAGGAATAGGTTGCCATCTTGTCCTGAAAAATGATACAGCAAGAGATGCCGTGAGAGAATGGAGTTACACAAATACTTCATGGTCTAATTTTTGGTAATCAGAAAATGCCTTAAAATTTTTTTCTTTAATATTTAAATGGATGCATAATCGAAAATGATGAAATTATACCAAAATTAGCTAAAACTGAATTTCTTAAAGGCCTTCACTGATTCTGGTGCTTGACTGGGGATTCTGAGCTTTGGAAATCCTGGTGGCAGACACGTGCATCTCGACCTCTTCACTTAGCAACTTTCCTCTTGCAGTCAATTGTTTAAAAGTGCAAATCAGACCTCGCTTCAGAGAATCTGCCTAAGTAAAGGTTGGTGTCTGATTAATGGGAGCAAGAAAGTCATGTCTACATAGACAGGAACAATCTGATTCACCCCAAACAAACTTCTAACACACTAATTGATCACTGTATTGAATTAACCTGATATCTCTGCCTAAATATTCAGTCCTGAAAATGGACTAAATTCATTGGGATAGACAGTTAAATTCACACCTTAAATGAACAACAGGATTAGAAAATAAATGTTAGTGCCATGGACAGACTGAAGCCAAAGGCTCTTAGAGAGATGAATGTCACCGTCAAGGTAAGCTAATCATTTACCACCCCATGTAGAGATGCTCATTATCTGATGGTTGGACGTGCTCTGCTTGATTATGTTCAGTGTTGAAGAACTTAGTTCTTCTGAATTAGCCATTTTGCTAGTTTGACAGGTTTACTTGGGAGGGTGCTCTGGTCTGTGCATCACAGCAACCCCCAATAACACCCAGTGGTCTGAGTCCTTCCTTGGAAAACACAAGGTACAAGCCAATTCCTTTATCCACAGACAGGATGATCTCTCCAAAACATTACCTAACCAGAGTTCTTGGTTTTGGATCTCTCTTCCTACCATTGCAACATCTTCATCTTAATAGCCCAGCCAATGCATTGACTTCATTCTGGCCAGAACCAAAATGTAGGTCAGGAGCAAGGTTGACGTCCCATGACTACCATGTTGGGGTCATCTTAATAGAGCTGTCTACTGCAAGTATTTAAAAAGTAAAAGCTTATCAAAGTCAAGTAACAATTCATTTTATATCTTTATTTTTAATTTTTTTCTGAAAACATTTAAACATTTTATGCACACCTATTTTGGGTCAAGCATAGTGGAATACAGAGTTGCCTAAAACAGAGTTTCAGTCAGGTAGGGTGGTTCACACCTGCAATCTCAGCACTTTGGGGGGCTGAGGTGGGAGGATTACTTGAGCCCAAGAGTTCAAGACCATCCTGGGCAACATAGTGAGATCCCATCTCTACAAAAATATAAAAAAATTAGCTGAGTGTGGTGGCACATGCCTGTAGTCCCAGCTACTTGGAAGGCCATGGTGGGAAGATCACTTGAGCCCAGGAGTTTGAGGCTGTGGTGAGCTGTGATCCAGCCACTGTACTCCAGCCTGGGTGAGAGTGACATCCTGTTTCAAGACAAACAACAACAAAAAACCAGAGTCTCTGCCCTGGAAGAGTTCACTACCTAATAGGGATGACAGAGATCTTTAAAGACAATGACTGAGGGAGAGTGGGTGTGACAGGAGCTATAACAGAGGGGTGATCAGGTGTGGAGGTAGCAGGGAGGGGCAGCCCAAACCAAGGCCCAGTCATAGACCTATGCTGATTTCATAGGAACTGACCACTTGCTTCCCTACAGGGGAAACAAGCATGTCCTGTATCCTCTTAGACAGGTGACTCTTGCTCCAGACTCAGGGTTAGCTCATTCTGTTTTCATCTGCATCCCGCTACGCTCCCTTGATTCCCAAGCAGACAGGGTTCGGTGCTTTTTTGCACTTTCCACAAAAGCACTGTGATAAGCCTCAGCAAGTCCAGTGAGGGAAGTGTTGCTTCAGTAGTTTCTCAAGGTGATGGAGAGGAGATATGTGTGGCAAGGAGATATCGGAGGTGCTCAGAGGGCCAGCTGCACCCTGAGACCCTGGCCGCTGGCTGAACACATGGCTGGTGTCAGCCATCTTGGGGCTCTGGATGTGTCATATGGGCCAAGCAACATGGCAGAAGGCCTGGCTTATTCTTTGGTTTCTGAAGTGCCTTGACAGAAAAGTTACCATTTGTTCTGCTCTGCCCTCAAAGTTAAAGAGACTTAACCACCTATTATTCAGATAGCAATTGATCATCATCATTTTGGAATGATTTAGCAAAATTCTAATAGAACCTAGGCCTTTGTTTTTTTTTTTTTTTTTTTTTTTTTTTTTTTTTTTTTTTTTTTTGAGACAGAGTCTCTGTCACCCAGGCTGGAGTGCAGTGGCACAATGTCAGCTCACTGCAACCTCTGCCTCCCGGGTTCAAGCAATTCTCCTGCCTCAGCCTCCTGAGTAGCTGGGACTACAGGGGCCCACCACCACGCCCAACTAACTTTTGTATTTTTAGTGGAGACAGGGTTTCACCATATTGGCCAGACTGCTCTCGATCTCCTGACCTTGTGATCCGCCTGCTTCAGCCTCCCAAAGTTCTGGGATTACAGGCGTGAGCCACCGCACCCGGCCAAGAACCTATATCTTTTCTTTTTAAAGAGTAATTGCTCCAATGATTACTTTGGTGAAATTACTATGTTTCAATACAAGAAAACACTGGACTTGGAATCAGAAATTCTAGATTTAAAGCTTAATTCTAGCACTCAGAAACTGTGTAGCTTGGGTTAGTCTCTTAACATCTCTGAGTATCAACTTTCTTGTCTGAAAAATGGATATAATGCCATCCTTACTCAAAGAAATGGAAACAACAGCAGCTGATAACAGACATGAAAGGCGCATGAAGAAAAATTAATTGGAACCTTCTGAGGATCAAAACTACGGATGACTTTAGCTATCTTTCACAGTCACCTGAAGAGCAGTCTGGTCAGATTGGAAGAACATCACCTGGAATGCAAATCTAAGGAACAAATGATTTGATGGGAAAGAAATGCAAGCCTAATACATGGTTGATATGGAGGTAAAGAGATGTCTGCTTGGCATCTAGAAAAGAGCAATGACGATGATGATAGGGCAGTGATTCTGTCTACACAGCAGGTGTCTGATGATCAGGTGTAGTGTCTGCTTTGCCAGGAAGCTCCACAGCACAGGTCACAGTAGCTCAATGGTACAGTCCATGAAGGCTACTCTGCTAACTCCCTTTGCTGTGACCCCAGGCATCAGAATCACTATTCTTTACTCACTCTTAGTGAGTGACTGTTATATACCAGATACAATGCTAAGCACTCACAGAGTTCATTCCATGTATTCCTTCAACAAACTGCTATCAGCGGATCTCAAACTTGAATGTGCAAAAGTATCAACCTAAATGCATGTTAAAAATACAAGGACCGTCTCCCATGGTTTGATTCAGTAGGTCTGAGAGCAATCAGGGATTTTGAGTTTTTAACAACACCCGGAGAGCTTAGTGGTTGACATTTTTGGAAATGGACTGCAGGAAGTTAAGGGCTGTTCCTCACCATCGCTTCAACTTTAAAAAAGAAAAGAACTGGTATTCAGAGACATTAAGAAAATTAATGTCACGTAGATAGAAATTGGTAAAGGTAGTATTTGAATCAGGGAATATGTTTTTAAATCTTTAGCACTTTATTGTATAGACAGACTATTTAATATGACTCTAAGTATCATAATAATCTGGCTTCCTATAAAGGTTGTTTTTTTGTTAATTATTTTTTTACTCAGAGGGTGGTAATAGCCAAGCAGCTAAAATGAGTATCTCTTTTCATATTGGCTTACTGCTCTGTCTCTAGTGAGCGAGACGAGCTTGGAGAGAATATTAAAATCTAGTGTTTAGAAAGGAGGCAGAAGATAAAAGACTCTCCACCAACACACACACACCCAACACAGACACACAACTCTTTATACTCTCTCTTTCTCTGTGTCTCTCTGTCTCTCTTTCTCTCTCTCTGTCACACACAAACACACACGCACACACAGAGGAACTGGCTTCTGGACCAGCTAGACCTCTCAGATACCTTTGTGACTTTGCTAAGTCAGGTCAAGAGTGACTGAGCCACCTCTCTCACATGAGTCTTTATCCTCGTTCCTATGGGCAGGGCAAAGTGGTTTATCGGAAAGCATACTTGTAATGATCAATAATGGCCATTGAGGCCCTTACCTCAATGCCCTCAGCTTCTGTCCCATAGTCCAGGGTCTGCAGCGAATGTTTGCCATGAGATCTTTCTGGAACTGTATATTCTGGAAGATTTGTTCCGGATCATTGCTGTCCCCTGTTTCATCAGCACTAAAGCTGTCATCCAAGTTGCTGAATGATCAGGGCATTAAGGAGGAAATCTGATTAGAAGAATTGTTTCCAGCAAAGATCATCTTGCCCTGGGCACAAGTTCAGGTCATCTGTATGAAATGTGTATGTGTTTGTGCATGATTGTGTGTGTTTGTGTAAAGGGAGGGACCCAAAGAGACAGATAATTTGGTAGTGTCAGTAGCCTGTTGAAACATTTATTGGATTCAATTACTTCCACTGGGTCATTAGAAGATAATGATTTCTCAGGGTGCATGATATTATCAGAAAACACAAGATGAGACAAGAGAGTACTTATGTACTCTTGGATTCCTGAGTAGCAGCAATTCGGGTAGGCAAAATAATTTCTTTTTCAGGCTTATTGAAATAATCAGCTTATTTTAGAGGCAGGACTCCTGTTCCCCAATTCTAAAGGTAACATAAAATACAATCAAAACTTCTGCCACTTAGAAACCCCTCTTCACCCTTTCAGGTCAATTCATTTTAAACCTGAGATAACCAAGGCAGAACCAGAATCTTTCCACCAGTGAAAGATTAGCTAAATAAATTTACATGGGCGAGATATTTCAGGGACATAGATACTCTCAAGAGGAACAATTTTCCAACATGTAGCAACATTTACTCCCAGTTACACTTAATATGCTTTATCCTAATGCAACTTTTTGAGAGGAGTTAAGAGCATTCATCTATGACTATTAGAAATAAAAGATTTCCTTTGTCATTTTCTAATTCATATTGTTTTTACCCATTAAGAGGAGTTTTTTTTTCAATTTCGTCAAATTAAAGGGCAGCTGTTATAAATATTTAACAAACTCGAATAGCACTCTCATCCACTTCTAACTAGCCTGAAGGCTTTTCCAATAAACACTTTATTTATCATGATAGACATATTATCCACCCTCTCTTGATGTTGCTGATTGAGTGAACATAGAGAAAACAGGGAAACATATCTGTGGGTTTGGCCAGCCATAAAGCTAGGTTGGGATGCAAGCTTTCGGATTCTGACCTGGTCAAGAAACAACCAGAAGAACCATTTCCCTCCATGCCCATTGCTGAGGTTGCCATCCTAGTTGTACCACAACCTGAAGAAGTGAGATTCTGAGTTCATTCTGAAGGAAAACTGAGCAGGACAGGGACTTTTTCCCTGGCTCTGGTGACCCACGCATTCCTTCCTCACACACCTGACTCCTCTGCCCAGCTGATGAATGGGGCTAGCTCACCTGAGCAGCAGAGATTCCTGGTAGAGGTAGCACTGACTGGCATTTCTCCGGATGCCTCTGTAGCGCTGGGATGCCTTTGAGGTTTTCATGGGAGTCAACAGACTGCTAACGATCAGAAGCTGGCCAGAGAGCTGGGAAGTTAGCAGGCAAGGGTCTGTTCTGAGGTTTCTGAACAGAAGCAGTGGAGTTTGCTCTGCCCGCCGGTTCTCAGGAACAAGACTGTGTGCTTGCAGCTGGTGCTCTGAGTAGGGAAGAATCCAGGAGGCCAGTCATGCATATGCAATGTTAAGGTGGCTGTAGCTGCACAGATTGGCTGGAGTCTAGACAGCCAAAGGTTTGACCTGGCGATCTACAGATCGCTTGGTGCGGCACAAATGATCACATCCGTTAACCCCTTATGCCCTGACAATGCTGGATGGTTTGCAAAACACTTTACATCTTTGACCATGGCTGATGTTCACAAAACACTGAGGGAGTACAAAAGGCAAGGCTTAATTTCCCCAGTTTTTTACTCTCATCGAAGAGGCTTAGAGACAGTAAGGACCCTGCTTGTGTTCACAGTGGAGTTGAAGAGAGGCACAACCATCACATTTTATTCTTTCTTATTTAGTTTTTTTCTCAACATAGTTTCTATTTTGAAAAAAGTCAAACCCTGAGAAATGCTGATGGAACAATACCAGGAATATCTGTACACTCTTAACCTAGATTTACCAATTGCCACATTTTGCCACAATTGCTTTATTTCTGTTTGTATCCTTCCCCTACCACACACCATTTGAAAGTAGATTGCAGAAATAATAACGCATCAACCCCAAGTACTTTCAGCATGATATTCATAATAATCAAATTAATGTCTTATCACATTTTACTTTTACCATACATGGTCATATTAATCAGCACGATAACTCTGAGACTGAGACTGAAAGAAATGAAAAGACTTCCTATAGCATTTGGTAAGAAAGGAAGACTTTGATAGAGATTAGACTCTCACCTTGATATTCTGAAAATAGGTTGCCAGCTGTAAAATGGGATGAGTAGCTCATCCTAGTCCTTCAGCAAAGGTCAGCAGCTTCTCTTCTCCTTCCCCAGCCATCAGCAGAATGGAGCCCGGTTCCTTTGTCACCTGCAGACTCTCACTGTTAGCCATGTGTTGGGATTCTCTGCCAAGAACCTCTTTCCCAAATCCAAGACTTGACTAGTTTCACAGTGTAAACCTCTATTTGCTATGTAACAAAAGAAACGGTTTGACTACAGTGAGGTTAATTGCACCTTTGTATTAACTGAATGGGAAGGTGCAGGACTGGAATAGACGTGACCCTTTTTGTGTAACATTACCTACTGCACACTCAAGACTCAATAAATGGGTGAATAAATAACTGAAGTGGACACCAGACAACAGAGCAGAAAGAAAATCCATCAGCAAGTTCAGATGTGGGGCTTCGGAGAGAAACTTCATTCATTTGTCCATTCAATCCTCTACTAATTCATTAGCAAATAATTGGAAAGCTCTTACCACACACTAAACTGGCAAATGTAAGCAAGAGCCCTAGCCCAGGGGTCCAGGGACCATGAGGCAAGTGTTCAGACCTAGGGTTGAAAGCATGGGAACGAAGTGGAAGGCTGAGTGCCAGAGCTGGCCTTGGGTCAGAGATGGATCTGGAGCCTCTGGGACCAGGTCATCTGTCTGCCAATTTGCTTGAGGCCATTTGGCCTGATGCTGTATCTGGTAACATTAGATAAAATGTGTGCTTATCAAATGGAGAAATGGCTTATATGGATTACTGCTAGCCCCACTGGGATTTTTTGCATTCTTTCAGAGATCTTTACTTATCTCAATCATTCCTGAACATTTCAAAGATTTTTTTCATCCTACTTTTTCCAAAGCCCCCCTGCCTTATTTTAAAATATTTACTCAAAAATTTAAAATATTTTATATTAATCTCATTCAATTAAGTATTTTGAGCATTTTTGTTTCCTTTTGATGTTATATATACATGCACATTGCAGGGGAAGGTAAGGAAAGGTAGTAGCAAATTTTTCAGTACACAGGGATTTATTAAAACAAATTAGAGCAAAATCAATCTTTTTAAAATTTCATATTCATTCAGGTAATTCTCTCTGGCACTATAGGCGAGATAAATAAATAAATAATGAGATTCAGAAAATTAATTCAGAGATTAAGAATAGAGTTTATTCGAATACAGAACTTGAGGGTAGCCACCCGGGAACCACCAACTCCAAATAAATGGGATCAGCATTCCAAAGTGGAGAAGTTAAGGTTTTACTTATATAGGCAGAGACAGAAAATTTAGCCAGATTGCATTTTCTATATGAGACCAGTGCATATGTTTCTATATGACACCAGTGCCTGTGGTTATAGATTACTGCATTCCAAGGAAGATGACTTTATTACTCCGTGAGAAGGGGTAGTGATCTGGGTAGAGGGGTCTCATCTCTGATGCCATTTGGCCTTTCTAATTATTTACAGGGAAGAAAAGGCAGAAGTTGCAGCTGTGTGCCACATGACTCAGGCTGCAAAGTCACATTCTTCTCAAGGCTTAGAATAATTTCAAGTTCCAACAGCATTAAGTTTAAATTAATTTTAATAATTAATAATTTATTAGCAGGGCGCGGTGGTTCATGCCTGTAATCCCAGCACTTTCGGAGGCCGAGGTGGGCAGATCACAAGGTCAGGAGATTGAGACCACTCTGGCTAACATGGTGAAACTCCGTCTCTACTAAAAATACAAAAATTAGCTGGACGCGGTGGTGTGTGCCTGTAATCCCAGCTACTCAGGAGGCTGAGGCAGAAGAATCACTTGAACCAGGGAGTCAGAGGTTACAGTGAGCTGAGATCTCACCACAGCACTCCAGCCTGGCAACAGAGCGAAACTCCATCTCAAATAAATAAATAAATAAATAAATAAATAAATAAAATAAAATAAAGTAATTTATTGAACCTACATGAAGATAGGTTGAATAAAAGATATTTAACTCTATTTTTAGTATCCAAATCATAAATTAACTGAGATAACTAAATAAGAATTGCAGCTTTCGATATGAATCAATTGTCCTTGTTTTTTGCCTAATTTTAAGGAAATGTTGATTTCTAAACATTTTTATTATGAAGTTAATGCATAATCATCAAACAAAATGGAAACAATAGGAAAATTAGAAATAGCAAAAACCACCTAGAACAATATTGCTCAATGATATTAACTATTAATCTTTTCAGCTTTTTAGAAGTGTATGTTTTTCTTTATATTTATATATTTTGTGGCTGTACTGTATATGTGTATTTCTCTTACCTTTTCCATTGATTTTATATTTAAAGCAATTTCCATGTTTTAAAAAAATTTTCTGTGGGTATATTTTACCAATAGGCTAATTAAGTAGTATATTCTGTCTAGGATGTGAAGCATTTAACACTGCCCCATTTCTCAAACATCCATTTTGTTCTCCCTAGTACCTTTTTTGTTTGTTTGTTTGTTCTGTTATTTTTTTGAGACAGAGCTCACTCTGTCACCCAGGCTAGAGTACAGTGGCACCATTTTGGCTCACTGCAAACTCCACCTCCCAGGTTCAAGCGATTCCCCTGCCTCAGCCTCCCAAGTAGCTGGGGTTACAGGTGTGCACCACCACACTCAGCTAATTTTTTTTAGTACAGACGGGTTTTCACCATGTTGGCCAGGCTGGTCTCAAACTCCTGACCTCAGGTGATCCAACCACCTCGGTCTCCCAAAGTGCTGGGATTACTGGCATGAACCCAGCTCCCGCCCCCCCCCTTTTTTTTTTTGGCGATTGATATTTTCTGCTTTTTGCATCATTTCTATAGAATTAGTTTTTCAGAAGTGAAATTACTAGATCAAAAAGAATATTATTTAAGAAAATTCAATGTTGTCAAATGAATGTTGCTCCCTTTACATTTATATTGATTTAGTGTGCTTTTATTATTATTGGTAAAATGAGTTTTTAATCAAACGTTCACATTTGTCTATGGTCTGTTTATGGTTTCCTTGGTCTGGTTTTTACAAACTCCCTCTAAGTACCCCCCGGCATTCATGTGGGCAGTGTGTTCAAGGCGCGGCTGTGATTGCAGCATCTCATTCTCCAGCAGGAGGGACTTGGATGCCCTTCCCCATTTCCTCTCCAGACTGCTGCTCCTCTGGATGCTGAAGGGCCAGGCAGAAAGAGAACATAGAGAGGATGTTGCTTTCTGAATGCAAGGAGATTAATTACTCCACATGCATTGACTTCCTCTGACAATTTGATTAAAGGTTTTAGATGTGCTGGATACGTTTAAGTTAAGCCAGAATTTGTATGTAGATAAAATGACTAAAAATCCAAAAATCAAAAGGTTCCAAATAGTGTCAAAATGGGCTAAAATTATCATTTCCTAGACCCACTGCTTACAGGATCTGTGGGGTGAGAGAAAGAAGATAGTGAGGGAGATAGAGATAGCAAGTGAAGGCCTAATTGTATAACGTATGAATCTCATTCAGTTCTAAAAACAAAACAAAACAACAATAAAATTGAGTTATAAATCCCAGAAGGTTTCATCAGAAGTGATCCGATGGCTTAGCTTACAGGGACAAAAACATTTATTTCCTACGTCATCAATTAAAGAGTTGTTTTCCTGCTAAGTGAATTCTATTCTGAGAAATTAATATCGCTGGCCACATCCTAAAATTTATGTGTGAGTCCAGTGTGTTCCATCAGCAAAGCCAAGGTCTCTTATCTTAGTTACCAAATTTTTAGCTCTGGATTTTGCAAGACAACCTTTCCCTTTTCTGGGATATATTTACACATCTGTTATATTGTTTTAGCAACTCCAAAAGCTTTTGCTTGAAGTTTAGAAATATGTTTTGAGTTTGGAGAATATTTTTTAGGGAAGATTCTCAAGAAGAGATTGTTTTCAATTATCTGAGTAAGAGCTGAATTTGTTGAAGCGTGAGAACCATTTTTATTTTTATTTTTGGATTCCACATGAAATCATTAGTGGCAAATAAGTTTGAAACTGTGCAGACCCTCTGAGATTTGCCTTTGGGTCCCGTGATACTCTGTAACTCTGTTACACTTTTAGAAAGTAGTCTGAGATTCATAGATGGGTTGGTGGGGGTGGGAGGTGGTGTCCTTTGCTACACTGCCCCTTGCATTAAGTGAAGATAGACTGTCATCACC